AAACGAACCGAAGTACAAGCCAATTTTGCAGTTTGCCCATTCAGATGAATAAAATGGTATACAGCGAAACAATGTAGACGCCAGTTTTCATTTTGATATTTGTGAATATAATTTAGCGCGTTTTCACTTTCATTTACGAACTTTTCAATTTCGCATTTCTGTGTTCTGCTTTTAAAAAACAATCTATTCTTCCACCGTACCGCAGAGGGCACAGTTACGTTTTGTTCATGAAAGTACACGAAATATGGAGGGAAAAAGTTTGGCTCTACACAAACAATATTTTTTTTAACTTGCGCTCGACAAATCGGATACTACCTGACACTTTGCACTTGACGGTTGTACCGTAGGCCCACAATTTCCTACACGCTGGCCAAATCACAATTTTGTATGCCCTCCGTTTTCTTTGTTTTGTGGTCCATTCATCCACTTGAGGGCCGATTCGGAATTAGACCCTATTTTTTCTTTAAAAATATGAGGATGAAATACACCTTTATCATGCTGCCACCATTTCAGTCATGTTCCCTGTATCCAATAACAATACTGAATCTTAGAATCTCAGAAAGTTGACCGTACATCGCCGCTAGGCATCGTCATCCAGTTTGAATGAATGAGTGTTTTGTGTGTGTGTGTGCAAAAAGGAGCCAGACTATTTTCCTTCCAGCCTCGCTTTGGTTACGTTGATTTGAATGGGACAAATCCAAATGGCCGCAACATGACAATGGTATATTGGATCAGAACAAGTCGCTCAATCTTGAATTCGATTGATGCATAATTTTCATTCAGTACAAAAAGTGTGTAGGCCTACCCTTTCCTATTGGTTGAGAGCCCACCACGTGTGTGATTTTAAACTATTGATAAAAACCCAAATGGTTTTGAACACGTTATTCCTGCACCACTGCGTTCCACGCCACATCGCCCAGTACGCGCCGCGTGCGCCAATCAGTCCATAAAAGGAGATTTTTAGCACTGCGCGCGCGAGGCGCTCCCCATAGACATGGCAAGAGGGTTGTTTCACATGGGGTAAAATTGATGAACAAACTCGTTAGGAAAATTGTGAATTTTGTTATATGTTGAATGGGAATAAATAATTATGTGCTTGGTCGGTATCTTAATAAGTACTTTTAAAACCAGCCGGGGGCTTGGTCGCGGATAATTCGGCTTGGGCCATTATCAGCGTACAGGCCCCCAACAGGTTTTAAACAACCGTGTTAAACCCGGCCAAGAACATTTTTCTCTTAAAAATAGAGGGTTAGGTGGCTTTGATTCGATGTATCACGTATGTCTTCAGCACCTATGAGATTTGGAAGTATTTTCCAGGTTTTTATAATAAGCCATTTGCGTGTAACCTATACCCTTTGGGATTTACATTTGAAAAACGTCTGGTACAATGACTTGCTCAGAATGCTTGGCACATTATAACTGTGAATTCTCCAGACCAAAGACACTGTTGCTAATCACATGATTCGGGGCAAGCTCTTGCATAGTTACGTAAGAGACGCTCAGCACCAATACATTGTTCACAATGGGTGAGAATGGCACAAAGACACCAGACCATGCCGGAGCTGGGGGTTGCTAGCATAAGGCTTGCCCCGAATCGCGTGATATAGTAACAGTCTCTTTGGTCGGGAGAATGCTAGGTTAAAACGTGCAAAGCATTGTATTAAGTCAGCGTTCCAGATTTTATTCAAATTTAACACGCAAATGGCTTATTGGGGGCAATTTATCGTATTTTTACTGGTCTGATCCCCATAATTTAACAGAAAGTAACTTTGCGAAGCCCAAGTTTAAAAGATAGTTTAACCAAGCATGTTTTTTTTTCCATCGAGTTTGACACAGTTACATGCTAAAGTTTAACTCTAGAGTGACGTAGATGCAAGTATTTCAATTCGCGCATTTCTTTGACAGACCCGCTAAAAGTTTAGTTACTTTTTTGCAATTTTAGGCATTTAATTTCTGTCATTCATAATTACACGCATCCTTTTTTCTATTTCAGAAATGTATGGCACCCACGAGTAACATTCCTTCCATAATAATTGAATTGCTGGCGTGGTAGCCATTTTTAGTTGTTTTTAATCAAATTAATACAAATGGAGTAGGCCTATATATGTTCCTTTTCTCTGTTTTTTCCCCTTTCCTTTTTTTTTGCTTTTTTTTGTTTTTACTTTCTGAGCATTTACCTTGGGGGGGGGGGCGTTTACAGCCAACGTCAAGGTGAAGAAACAGGCATTAAAGGGGGGGGGATCCCATAAAATGAAAATGTCAGATCATCTCCAAACTGTCCCTTGGACGAAACTGAGTGAATAAAAGTAAAAAAGTGGTCGACTAAAAAGCAATATACCGGTACCGAATGTGAATTTGAATGGAAATGATATTTATTGATAGAAACAAATCTCCCAAGACTTGTTCGGCTGCATGGCTACTGCTTGTACTAGAATATTGGAAGGAATAACGAGAGACATTCTAGCAGAACTTTATTTTCGCGAAGCTGAATGAAGTCGCCAACATTATTTAACCTGTATTCTAGTTCAAATTAAATCTTGGCTATGAAATGACAGTATAATCATCCTAAAATGCGGTTTTACAGCGACGTAAATTAAGTATAAAGACCTTGCAGAAATGGGTGCACACATTGAATACGAACAGTTACTCCACTTTTTATAGATGTAAATTGCGAAAAAAAATGTTTGAGAACAAAAAACTTTGTTGGTTAAACAGACAATTGATGGAATGTCCAATCTTTGCAATCAGTGGTACATGTTGTTCTGCTCGCCATAATTATATATTGGGACAAACGCACCAACAATGGTAACGCAGAGATGAGCGCTTAAAATGGCTGCTTCCCACAAAGTTTCAAAGTTCAGACTTCCCTGATGTTCATCTTGTGATTGCCAAAGTGCCGGATTTGCCCATATCTGTTGGTATAACTCAATGTTTGGTTTGAACAAACATTCCCTTTCAAGGTTATTTTATTTGCATAAATTATGCATAAATTTGCTGTTTCTGCTAGCAACTGTATAAAAGAAATTAAATCATCGTCAGTTATTTCCTCGAAGTGTTAATACAAACATTTTGTCCTTACGAATTGTCAATTTGTGCGTTTGTTTCAACAAAAACACTACTTTAATTTTTTATTTTTTGGGCGTCTGCAACCCTCTGAAAAAGGCTTTCATTTTGAACACAAGTGAACCCACTCCGCGCGAGCCGAATTATTGTCTGCCAGCAATAATTCGAATTTGTGAGGAAATTATTCAATAACTAAACGTCACTTGTTTTTTTCGTTCGATGTCTCATTCAAAATTGACTAACTTTTATATACTGCTTCGAAAATATCAATTGGGAAAAAAACAAACAAATATATTCTTCGAGGTGAAACTCGAAAATAGCACAGGGAATGCATTTTTGGGCCTCGTGAACATAACCACGAATAACTGATGTAACTATCGACATCAAAATTATTCTGTAAAATTCCCGTACTGGTCCCAGAGCAATGAGATAATGAGCTATGTACACGTGTGGTGCGAATGAGGTACTGATACAATGAAGAGCGCCCTCATTCTGTAATGCTTAACCTCAGGCTATCTCAAGTGAATTTTGTGTGTGTGTTGTGTAAAAAAAAATTCATCGTCTAAGTTTCAACATCGAGTTTTGTCAATGTGAATGTAAATGATGGTTACAGGTAGAGTAAATGATGGTGAAAGGTATATTTGTAGCTATCTAAAAAGTAACTGACGAAATTATTGTTGAAAAGCATACTTGGTTTTCTTTCTGGCATGCTGTCTTTTGAAGAAAATTCTTTACCGTGTACCCTATTATAATCTTATATGGAAACAGAAAAGGCAAATCGTTTACAAGTTACCGTTTATGCGTCTAAAAAACAAAAGAACAGAAAAACAAACTTGTTTTACCTTTTACCGTTTTTGAATCTGTAAACCGAAAAATGAAAAGCAAACCCTTTACCAATTTTTGTTTTTAAGCAAACCCTTGCCAAGTTTTGTTTGGAAATTTTTGAAGAAAAAAACTAACAAAAACTCTTAACCCTTTTTTGGTTTTAAAGTTTTGAAAAGAAAAAAGAAAAAGCAAACCCTTTACCGGTTACCTTTTTTAAATTTTTAAAAAGAAAAAAAGGAAAAACAAACCCTTTACCGTGCACCGTTTTGGAATCTGTGTTTTTTTAATTTGGCTTATCCTAGAAAATTGTTTCCTCGGAATATACAACATTCACTGAGCTAAAACTTCACCAGGTTGGTTGTCAAGCACCTTTGAGCACTTTTGTTGCTTCAAACGAAAGAAATGCACAAAAGAAAAATGATATATTCTACCTTTATATGCGTTCGATTAATAATCATTCAAATGACTAAACAAACCTTCAGTTCAGTTTATTTCAGTTCATTTATTTCCCCAGTGTTCACAAATAAATATATCAAAGTACTGCAATTACATGTTTAACGGATGCAAAAATTGTAGTGGAGCCCCTGATTAGAAGCAAAGCTTGTAAACACGACCCCGAGGCCTTCATTGAGGCACTGTCAGATTGTTTTTAATTTGGGGAGGAAGGAAATCATGTATTACACTGTAAACACGTTGGGCAAATGGGTTGATATGTAGACCAACGTTAGTCAACATATCAACAGGTTAAACTCTTGGGCAAAATCTTCCCAACTGTTGGGAAATGTTTACCCACATTGGGTTATTTCAAACCAATGTTGAGTAAAATTATATTGCACAACAGTGTTTAACCCAATTTTTTTTACAGTGTAGCTTAAGATATTCAAAATATTATGTGTAAAACACTGATATAACATGCAGACTAAAATAATCGGCAATATCGCTTGACAGTTGTTCCGCCCACCGTTACATTACAAGAAAGCTTACGCTTTTGTTGACAATCACTCAACCGTGAACAACCCCCTCAGCTAGCTCCACTGGCTAGCTCCCGTGTGGAAACCTTCAGTTCGATACCAATTTGAATGTGAATGGCGCTGTTATTGTACCGTCTTGGTTGAATGAATTGGTGGCATGGTTATCATGACGCTCAAGCTACTGTGTGCGCACGCTACAGGTCAAACGGGCAATGTATAATACGTCTGCATTTGGATTTGTAACCGTTTTTGTGAGGTAGAGAACTCGATTTTTCGTAGTCATTGGACCGGCAAGATTTGTTGTATTGAAGGTGTACTTGACTGAGGCGGAAATAAAGCCTTGAGCAGGGTCATGGAGCGTAGGAATCGTGAGAAATACGCCACAAGAATGTAACGCCGTAGTTGAGAGCAGACGTGTACATCCTCTCCCCATCAGTGAAAGTGTTGAGGCACCAACATTCAACGCGGCACATTGTTGTTGATGTTTTCTTTTAAACGTCTGTGGAAATAAGACAAGCCTAACGATAACCGACGACCAACGTCGGACTGACGAACGGGGGGAGAAATTGACTGATCTCCCCGTGTCTATTTTGCCTGGCGCCGCTCCGTTCATACTTGCCATATAAACACAGTTTATCGAAGATGGATATATCTGTGAGACTGATCGCAACAGTGTTTGGGGTATTTTTGCTTGCCGGAATCGTCAGAACACAAGGTGAGAAATCAATATACAATACGTTTTTAAAATTTCTATACGCTCTAGTTTCTCCTTGTTTAAAATTAGGTCAGTGGTCGCAAATATTGTTTGACAACTGAAATGATAAAATCAGGACGGATTTATTCCAGCATTTTTTATTCAAGAAACTCATGACAAGTGATGGTTTTAACATATTAACATATATTTTGCTGACAGAAGCAATGGAGATAATATTTATAGGCCTATATGCTGTTAGGCCTATAGGCCTAATCTGTTGATGGTAGATATGATACTTATTTTTCATGAAGGGAAAGGAAATTTACTTTCGTTATTCATGACTGTTTAAATCGTAATGCCCTTTGAGGTTTCTAATTGCGTCTAAGATGTTTAATAATCGCAAGTTATACAAATATGCATGAATATATATTTCTTCTTTGGACGAGAAATCATGCTGTGATTACCGGATTTCGGTCATCTTTAATACATGTATTAAGAAATGAATTCCTTTTAATATCAGCTCCTAATAACTCTGAACAACGAAATGAAAAGAATTATATTTGTATGGATTTGATAATAAAGACATATCCCTTATTTAATTTTGTGTTATCGGTTATATCTGTCCATGCATACTTGAACTCATCCGCTGTCAATAATTGAAGTTCTATCGCACTCAGCCCTTTCTTAGTTATTAGATCATGAAGGCATTATTTCCCTATTAACATGTCAGTTTCTCGGATAATACCATAAACACTTGAAAGGACCCGACATTCACTTTCGAGGTCATTTGTTAATTTGTTTTTTTCGCATTGACAAAATCGGAATTTTGACACCTTATAGCAGTATTGCCCGGTTGCATTGATTTCCTCATTGATGTTGACATTTAGGTTACATTTTGGTATTTTTTTTTATCTTTGACTATATGCTTAATTGCAACTTTGTAAAAAAAAAAACTGACTGCACTTATTGGTTTTAACGAAATGAAAATCACAAAAGAAGGCTATAAGTATAATCCCACTGCAGAAACATGCATGTGTGTGTATGTTCATTTACGAATAGGCTGACCTTTTGCACAACGCAGGTAAAAACACCTACTCATACGCTTTTCACCGAAATAAAGACAAACTATAGGTGGGCCCATGTCGATGGGTCAAGTTCATGGATGGCCAATGATTGCGCACAAAAACGCCCACTGATTGAAAAAAAGTGACCCACTCATAGATATATGCCGTTTTATATAAAGTAACTTCAATTTCAACTAATATGCAGGCATTACTTTAAAAAAAGATTAGACATCGTTATTCTGAGACTAAAAACTGTTTACTGAAACTCCGACACTCCTACGGAGGTTTTACAACAGTCAACAATTGGCGAAATAACCTCCTGAGCATGATGTTCTGACCTTGCTAAATTATCTAAGGAAATTAGTGAGTACCACGTTGAAAAGTTAAAACTGGAATTTTGATATATTTTTTGATAATGAAGTACATGTATTACAATGAGTAACTTGACGACCAGCATCAAAAGCAGCGCAGTGATTCGATTAGCGAATGGCTTTTCGCATTGTCCATGACCCCATTGAGTGTAGGTAGCACTGACTCATTGTGTGCTGGCTTACAATATCGATATTGATTTGCTTACATGTGATATATACAAACCGACTGCGCTGTATTATGTAGACACACCCAGCGGTGGCGCATTAAAGACGGAATACCCCAAAACAAACAATGTTGTCCATAAGCGATTTTTTGTGAGTGGATTTTAGTCAGAATGTAATATAAACATCGAACATTTGAAATATTTCATGCAACCATCAAAGTACAGTTCTAGTTCATTGCCAATATCAGATGTTTTGTATACATAGATACGTGTGGATACAGACAGACTACAAAATCACAATGATCTACTTCAAGCTTGTCTAACCGACTGCTTGTTTCATGTTAATCCCCGGGTTAGACGTTGTAAATTGAAAAGTGGTACTGACGAAATAAGTCCAAAGTTTGTACCCATCTTCAAGGATTCTGGCTGCCACCGGAAAAAAATCTACGTCTTTACTCATACATTTAAAGCCAGTTTTAAAACATGCATCGTTTTTCTTTAGATTCTTATAACAAATTTTGTAAAATCGAAAAAAAAAAAAATTATAGAACGGGGATTCGTGACGGAATTCGGAATGCGCATGGAAATTAATGGGAGTGCGACCTGGATATTCTATAATCCAGGAGAGCCTCAATATTACATGAGTGTACATGTTGGCTGTAATGAAGTGGGCCATTGTATTATTATGAATATCATCTACCACACCTGCCACTTACGACGCGTCTGTTTCATCATTATGCGACATCCAACGAAATAGCTTCCCGGTTGCTAGGCGACGGGTGCTCTTAATGAAAATGCCACTCTCGGGTGGTCTGCTGACTCTGCTCTACAGGGTGAGTAAAAAGAAACGCATCCCAACTGGCAGGACTAATTTTTGAATGAAGTTTTGCCTGCAGCACTTTCCAAATCCAGGATATGAAAGCCCAGTCATTAAGCATTCTTTTAGTGCAAGAATCAATCACTCATGTACTTTTCGAGTAACGGCATTTTGGACACAAACGCCGTTTTAAAGTTCTTTCCAGGGATCCGAGTAAGTGTTCTTTCAGCAAAACGAAAACAATTCTTATAGGGATGCATGTGAATTGTTTTCGTTTTGCTGAAAGAACGTGTACCTTTTTTGTGATCCGTGGAATGAACTTTAAAACGGTGTTCTTGTTCAAAATGCCGTAACTTGAAAAGTACATGAGTGATTTGAATGATTCTTGTGCTAAACGAAAGGTTATTAATTGGGCTTTCTTATCCTAGGTTTTGAAAGTGCTAAAGGCAAAACTTCATTCGAAAATTGGTCCTGCCATTTGGGATGCGGTTTTTTTTTACTCACCCTGTATAGCTTTGGGCGTGTAATATACATGCAGTACTAATAGGCCTAGTATGGTTTCATCCAGCTCAGCATTTTCTGAAAATCTGCACTGAGGTTGCAGTGCTGATCGACATTGAATTTTTATCGTTCTCACTTTTATCAGCCCTTTTTCTATGCCCTGTCAGTATGAGTAAAACAAAATTAACTTAAGTAAGTTCAAGGGCAGATCTGAAATCATGCACATTTTCGGGGCGAACCGGCCACTGAGCACGGCGGGTTGTTGCAAGTATGTTGCAAAATTCCAAAAATGTGGAGGGGGACCTCATTTTGACACTAGGGGGCGCCCCTTTCCCCTTTTTCAATATATTCCTCTTTTTCACATTAATTAGTGAAAACATCAAAGCCATTGTGGCTGGCGTTTATGTGACCTGCTGTCTGCTGAAGCTAAATGAGGAATGTTCCCCAAAACTGTGTTTTGAGTTATCAGCGTCTGAACTTGCCTATGTGTGCGGAAAATCTTGTCAAAATCGTTTTTGGAATTTTGAATTTTTGAGTAATCAGGGTATCTAAGATGCACACTGTGTATTTTTGTGGTGAAAAAAAATACCTCCAAAAGTGAAGGAAAAAAATGACGATTTCTGAAGTGTGTTAGTGTGAAGTTTTTTTCCCAAAATTGTCAGTAATTTCTTCTGGGAACAACAAAAATTGACCCAAGTTCACCGTGAAATTTGGCACGCCTAAGAGTCGCCGGCGGTGCCATGATTTTTTGAAAGCGACAAGAAACTGTCTTAAGGTTCTCTTTAAAGCGCTAAAGGGCGCTGTTGAGCCACGTAAACTGAAACTCGAAACAGTGCTGTGCCGGTGATCATTTTGTGGTAGGCCTAAAGCTCCATAATACTAATACTAATAGTAAAAGACTAACTAAAGACCACGGATCAAACTGAATGATAATTGCCTGCATTGTACCTGAAAAAGACCAGATGTTTGGAGTCTCTTTGTAACCTTTCTGACACCGTTCCATTGTGAAGTTAGTCGGTGATTTCATTCTCAATGTTAACGGCGAACGGTAAACATGGGCCGGGAGCCGGAGAGGCGGGGGGGGGGGGGGGTGTGGAAAAAATGTTGCAACCTGCCGCCACTTCAGCGGTTATGTACAATTATTAAGTCTATGGAGAGTCAAGAACATTTTCTAACTAAGTATTTCCTAACAAAATTGGAAATGTTTCTCAGTCCCAGATTTATGTTTTATCACTAGCATTTTTGCAATGACTAGCTGACTAGACATTCATTGAGATGATGCATGAAGAAAAAAGTGGTGTCACTCACTGTCAGGTCGCAACATTCTTTCCAAAACTATAGTGGTGTTCCCTACTTTTAATCAGAAGGCTGCTCGTGACGAGCAGCCTTCCGATTTCAGAAGGAGGTGTTCCCTAACGTGGCACATGTTCCCCCAGACTTTCCTCGTGCAGTGTTGCCAAACCTCTTCGTTTAGTCTTTGTTGACAAACTTCAAATTCATTCAGTTCAATACTGGCACTTTTACCTTTTATAATTCTTGCTGTTGCTTTTGGTCTATGGTAATCTGAGTACTTGGACCCAACTCAACTGCCTTTTTAACAGTCAAACGTGGTCTGGCGATAGGGTCCAAGTTAGACTGCTGCCTAGTCCGACAATTTGGGACTTTCAATACTGTGTATGAGAGTCCCAAAACTTAAGGTATTGAAAACATGCAAAACAAGAAAATAGACTGGCACCTAAAACAACCAGTCCAACACAGCTTCAGTACTGCATCAATCAACCATGCCAAAAGAATTTAAGAAACATGTGGCATGAAGCGGGAACTAGTCTCAATTTACTACACATTTCTCCATAGTCAAGCCACCAGACTATTGACACTGAATGAAGAGGTCAGTCTTTTCAAATAGTTGGACCATGGTTGGACATGTACCAGTCTAGTATTTAGCCCCATTTTGAAATCAGTTGACTTCCCTCTCATGTGTAAAATATTGAAGAAATGTCTCCTTTAAAAATTGAATTTGGTCTGCAAACTTGGTTGGTGAAATACTGAGGACATTTTCTTTGCCCCTGTGGAATTTATGGAGAAATTTGCTGGCTAAACTGTGAGTAAAGTGGGCCTGATTTAGTTTTGCACGTTTCAGAGCACTCCAGAGCCCTGTCTGACTGCTGCCATGGCGTCTGTTTTTTTTCAATGGGAAATTTTACTTTTCATACGGATCGTAAGTAAAGCGTAGTACATGTACCTCAATCTTAACCATCGATCTCTATTTGAGTTTCAGGTTGCGTATTTATAATTTAGTAATTCTGAGGCAGTTTTGAGGGAGAAATCTGATGTTTTTGTTGGCAAATGGATGGGGTTTAAATACCAGATACCATGGCAGCAGTCTAACTTGGACCCTAGTAATATCGCCAGACCATGTCCAAATGTTTAAAAAAGGTGATGTGAAGAGTCCTAGTTACTCGGACTAGGCCTGGCCTGTCAAGTGACTTGTTCATACCCCCCTTGTTTCAAACATTTTTTTCTCTAATTTAGGTGACTGTAATCCCAACCCGTGCCAGAACAACGCTTTCTGCGTACTTCAACAGAACAATCAGACATTCTGCGAGTGTGCGGGGGGTTACCATGGCGAGATGTGCCAGAATCCCCTACCCTCTAACCGTAAGTTGCACTTCTCTCTTGTTTTGTCAAATTTATGCAGAATTAACCCCTGGGGATAGTACATGTACATGTATCCTCAAATTCATGCAGTAAAATACTAGTACTTTTACCTTTTTAATGCTTGCTATTTAACCTCTGTAAACAATTTCGGTTTCATAAAAATTTAATCCGAAATTCAAAAACGGTGGCGTCCGGAAATTGGGCACAAATTGGCGGAGTGTTCCCTAACGTGGCACACTTGAATCAATCTTAAAAAATCCCAAATTAACATTTAAGAATTTCTGTAAACTTGATAAATTCTGATAAATAATTATTATCCTTACTTACATACCCAGCCAGATGTTTGTCAGAAAATTATTTTCTTATTTTTCGGGGCATTTTCAAAGAGTTCACTTTGCACTTGAAAATAAAATCGGAAAATCATGCCAAAATAAAAAAAAATTCTAACTTTGATACGGTAAATTAACTCGTGATTTATGAACAGGAATGTTTAGAACTTGATGAAATGTCACTTTATGTGAAATTTCAGTTCAAACTTTTGCTCTAGCTAGGCGCTACAGGCGAAAAATCAAAGTGCGCCACGTTGAGGGCCGCGCCACGTTAGGGTACATCAACAATAATTAACTGAGAAAATCCACAAAACCATTTAGGTCAAAGTGTTTCGACGGTTTTGGAAAAGTGTACTTGTACCGTTATGTACACGGTAGAGGGATGGTCGATCAGCAAAAACTGAAAATCTGATGTGAGGGAAAGAATGCAGACTATAAACACGCATACTTTATTTAAACTTCCAAATATTTGAACCAACAAAAAGCTATTAGAATATTTGTTTGTTGATCAAATATTCGGTATGTGTTCAGGACAGCCCTGATCATGTTGCATGATTTGTCCAACACAAAGTTACAAGGACAATGTCTGCATTTAATAGTTGTCTTTTAAATGATTTTTTTTCCAATTAATTTGAACATAGCACGCAAAAGCTGCAATGCGAACCAACAATACTTCTACGGCCTGACAAGAGGCTTTCTGACGTCGCCAAATCATCCGGAGAACTACACCAATAATCAGCTCTGCTGGTACTTTCTCGGTGTCGCAGACGCCAACAAGTTTCGGCTGAACTTCCACGTTTTGGATTTTGAAGAAAATAAGGACTTTATAAAGTTTGGAGGTGGGCCAGTCGTTGATGAGAATGCGGTAGTGTCGTACGACGGTCTGCAAGACCCTCCGCCAGGCCCTCTGGAAATCACCGGGAACAAGGTGTGGATCCGATTCGAAACAGACTTGAACGTTGTCAGGTCGGGGTTCAATATCAGCTGGGTTGTAGGTGAGTCACAGTTGCTAACATCTTTATGTATTCGCTTGTTTGCACTCGTGGTCACGTTCACTGACCATTATGGCCTGAAATCCCTGAACATTTTATGTTTTAGATTGTTTACTTAAATCCTATTTCAAAGGTCTGGTTGAAAGGATACTTACCTAATGTCTCACGTTCCTGAGAAAAGAGGGAAAATCTGAGTACATGATTTACATCGGACGCGGCAGACATTTTGTGGACATTTCCATGTTCATTCCATGTACGGAACACGTTCTGTGTGTGTCACATAATACACACGCCACCAACACAAATGTTGTTTCTCATGCGTCCGCAGAATACGAAACACTGTACAGCAGGATTCACAACTAACATACAACATAAATCTCGATTTTTGAGAATCACAATTTTAACTCCCAAAATTTGTTCTGGCATGTTTCTGGCAGGAATAGCCCCCACAAAACACCTAGTTTTTAAAGGATGGTTGTGTGGACGTTTATCCTTTATGCTCTTTTCAATTAATATCATTTTATGAACATGCGTTTTGTAGCCCAATTTGGCGCATCGCAGGACGTAATGTCCCTTTAACTCGTTTGCATGCACGTACACATTTCAACCACCACTGACATTATTTCCAATTGCAGATGAAGGCTGACACATGGATGTATGTAAAGCATGTTTTGGTGTGTTTCGAATATCTCTTCTTCTATAAATTTGGAATGCACAGTGTGACATTTTTCCTGTCCCTGTTACCTTGGTACTTGATCATTTGCCATTCAAGTATCATTAAGAATGACTTCAAATGATTTTTAATATGTTGTGTAGGTAGTTTGCTATTCATAATCACTCTGGGAGGACGACTGCATTAAAGCCCTTAAGAACCATGACTAAAGTGCTTGCAAAGTCTCTGCCAAAGTTGAATTCCAATCGCATGATTAAACCTTAAGGTGACATTCCTGTCAGTTTGTGATTGTGCATTCATCCGACGCTTTCGCGCCCAGACTATATCCTACAGGCTTGGCCCTTAAAATATGATCCATTGTGAAAGTGCCCCTCCTTTTCACCATTGTAACGCGAGCGTTGCAAGTTCACATTGATGTATTTTTTCTTGGTTGTAAAGAAGGAAATATGAAAACATTGTACAAGGACATGGATGTGTTCGAAAGTTTTTTTTCTTTGATAATTAGTTTAAGATCAAAATGAACAGGACCAATTGCTGTTGAAACATGTTTAGCAGATAAGAAAATCTTGTGGTATCAGGGTTGGCGCGGCCTGGAAAAACACAAGCCTGAAAAAGTCATGGAATTTCATTTTCAATTTCCAGGCCTGGGAAAGTCTATCATGGAAATGCACGCATGTAAAAATGACAGAAGTCATGGAATTTTGTGAGGCCCAATTTATTTAAAAATTTGAACTTTTCCATATTCATAATATTACTTGAGCATCAGAAATGTGATTTTTATATCCCACAAAATGTGACAAATTTCGTTGATACAATCAGTTTGATTTGAAAGACATTTAGTTGCTTTGTTTTGTTGTTTTTCTGTTTCATGGGATAAGTGTTGCAGTTTTGATCTACATTTTTATAAACTAAGTCATGGATTTTCATAATGTGGTCGTGGAAAGTCATGGGGTTTTAGTGATCTAAAGGTGACATAGGAACCTGCTACATGTACATGTATCTGTTAGATACAATTTCAGACAAGTTTGCTTGTCAACCATGTCTGAACAATCACAGATATAAAATGTACGGTATGCTCTAAGCTTAAAACACAATAAAATTCTCCTTACAAAACTGCTTGTTGCATCTCAATGGGAACTTCCGTTTACAAGCTATGGCTGTTTAAGGCCAACAAAAAATAATAGTTCTGCTTCCAGTTTCCCTACCTACCCTATTCTGACAGCCCCTACCCTAATTTTTATGGGGAAAAATGAGAAGAAGAAAAACTCAAACCATCAATTTCTACCTTTCACCCTCGACAACACACAGAAGCCTCCATATGATTGTACATGTATACACAAAAAAATGGCACAAAAAAATTATTTTCGTACCTACCTACCCTATTTTCAAATGCCATGTTATCGGAAGCAGAACTATTTTTTTTTTTTTCGGTCTAAGTTCGCATTTATCAAACATGTCCAAAAAAGTAAAATACTGAGAAAACTGCCTTTCGAGTTTCGACTGACTTCATGAAAATGGAAGATGCCAATTGGTTTATCCTAAAACAATATTTTATTCCACGATTTTTATACTATTTCTTTAAAATATGTGTAGTAGTCATTTCAAAGATTACAAATATCAATGAATCTAAAATTAAAAAAAAATCCGCTTGTTTGTCTTTCTCTGCATTTATTTCCACTTCGGCCTGTGTGCAATTCCTTCTGGGTTGGGGTAAAAAAAAGCTGTGAGTCAGTCTGTGTAGGATTGAATGACTGATTGAGGATCAAGGGCTGTGGCCTAGGCTGCTCTGTTCCGATTGCATGCACTGACCATGACCTAACCAAGCCTTTGATATTTACAAGAAAGGCTAGGCGTACATGTGTACTTTTGTACCTTTTGTCATGGTTGTAGTTTACCTTCAGTAGGGCCTACATGTACATGTACGGTAATTACTCCCATTTTTGCAGGAAATTGTACACCATTGTGCAAGAACCAAACTACAATGTAGTTTCTTTGTGGTTAAAAAAAGTGTGGTTAAAAATTTTTTTTACACTTATTCAGATGCAGATTTGTCAGAATTCGAGAGACATGTTTAAATTGTTTTAAACATAGACACTACAGCACTTTGTTGTACAGATATGATGAAAACAACGCTGAAAATAAAGCCTAAACTAAGACATTGTGATGATTGAAAGAAAGATGGTCAAAAACCAGTTTTTCCACACGCAAGTCTATGAGATATGGTCAACATAATAGCACTGCATGCGCACACAAAGAACCGCAATGATATGTAATTAAGTCTTAATCTGAAAAATCTGCGTCTGAAAAGATGTCAACTTTTTGTTGGACCACTCTGTACTTAATGTAACTTTACTGGGTATCACGCTCCATGTAAAGTAATAAGGGGCTGTACTCCATTTTTATAAAGTCTTTGAAATCATCCAAAATCTGGTAGATTTTATAGGCCCGCGAGGGTAGGGGTTTAGTGGAAAGAGAGAATATGCATTTTTAAAGCTTTTGTTGTTTGTTTCTCTACTTTTACATACTTTTGAATACTTTTTTTTTGTGAGGATGTTCGAAAAATATCCTGTCATCTACAATTTTTTTTGTCACCATGAAAAAGTTGGGGGGGGGGGGGAAGATTCAATAGCCCATCCCCTGGTCAAAAAGATGGGGGGGGGATATATATATCCCCATTCCTCCAGGATTTACGCCCCGGGTTTGCAAGTACGTCATTGCTGTCTGACAATTAATGACAACAGTTTTTGTTGGTAGGCCTAATTATTGAAGTCAAGATTATTTTTTTTATATAAACATTAGTGTGATTTGAGTAAAAACATAATTGTGATTTGAATATCCATTTCAGATGGTGACGAGTGCAAAGTTGACCCCTGCGCACCAGGAGAAATTTGCTTTGATGAGGAATACTCCTACAGATGTCAAGGTACCAGACTTGCAAGGAAATAAGTACATGTATCTCATGTGTGGCGCTGCTGGCGCATAATCCTTGAATGTAGGGAGTTGGTACTTGACCACGATGAAAGCATTTACACTAGAATTGGGAAATGTATCGACCGTTGCTATACCTTTTGCTGGGTCTAATTTGTTTACCCTGGTTTTATTGGGTCCTGCATCCATTACAAATCATTGAATAAAGTTAAAGTGAAATTCACTAGTGAAATGTACATTAAAGAGAATATAGGCCTACAACATTTGCAAACATCGAAAAACAAAACTACCATTTTTTTACGAAATACCTTACTAGGATGTTGGTAAATGGCATCCTGTAAAAGTTATGGCACCTGGTGTGAAGTCATTATCAAGAAAATTTGTATTTTTGTATCAATTTCCAACGGTGGTCGGTTTGAAAAACCTAACTATATTTCAACTACTGCTCCAAATTTACCACAATTTTAACCCCTCAATTAGTTCATTTCTGAAAATTACAGCAAGAGCCAATGATGTACATTCCCTTTAATGGTGAAACAAACATCGGTACTTACAATACAAGAACTTTGCATGCGACAGTAGAGGGTGCTTCCTGAACACTTTTGGAGAGCTGCTGAATTGAGTTGGACATAATGCGACCACGAAATGGTCAGTGCGTGTATGCTGTGAATCAGTGAGGTCTTCACATGAGCATCATGCGTCGTCAGCAGTGCATTGATATGTCATATGTCACACAGAGACAAGTGGTCTTCCCCAATTCTGCCCATGTTACCGTTGAGGCGTACACATGCAAAAATGAGCTTGACAGATAATTTAGCAGAATTAATCTTTTTAGCAGATTTCTAGCCGAAAATTTCTGTAAAATTGGTGATTGTAATTACAAAAATAGAAATGAATAGTTCTGAAAAAGCTTCAATGTGAGGTTCCCTGGCGTGTATTAGTACACAGTAAATAGACCATTACAAGCCAGGCTACCGTATATACACGTGCAATTTTTTGTTGTTTAATTTTAACGAAATTTTAGGATTTTTTGACTTTCATTTGGTGTAAGACAATTTTATAACATCTGCACGTGAGTACAAGTGTTTATAATGTATTTCTTGTAATAATTAATAGGCGATTTAGCAGATTTGTGTTAAATCTAGCAGATCTTTGAAGTGCATCTAGCAGAATTTGGCCAATACCTTACGGTCACCCTGCTTGTTATGGCTCAGAAATTGAACAAGTAATTCCTTTCTACTTGCAGCTATAAATGAATGCGAAAGTGCTCCGTGTCGGAACAATGGTACCTGCGTGGACGGAGTCCTTAAATTTGAATGCGTGTGCCCACCAGGGTATGAAGGAGTCACATGTGATACACGTAAGACCTTTGACATATGAACTTTATGGTCACGTCTGGATCTAAGTTATTCTTGTATAAAAAAAACTTACAAATGCAAAATGCCTGCAACCATGCTTTTGGAGGATAATTTTTGTGTTATTCGCACCAGAGTTATACATGTTTATTGGTATAGGTTTGCAGAAACCCCATGTAATGGACCATTATCATGTTGCGGCCATCTTGATTTTTTTCCCATTCAAATCAATGTAACCAAAGCGAGGCTGGATGGAAAAATAGTCTGGTTCCTTTTTGCACAAAAACATTATCATTCAGTACTGTTATTGGATACAGGGAACATGACTGAAATGGTGGCAGCATGATAAAGGTCTACAATCCTCAACGTTATATCATGTCTTGGATATTATAATTTCATTGGTGTACCGGTAGAACTACCACACATCCAGTCTGTAAAAATGACTGTTACTTCATATACACTGTGTTGTGTATAAATTACCTCATATATATCGTGTTGGATATAAATGATCTCATATACACCGTGTTGCATATATTGCGCGCACATGAAGGGTGCGTGTGTAGGGCCGTCCTACATGCCTCACAATAGATACCTTCAACCTCTCAATCTTATATCTGGAAAGAAAGCTTACAGCATCAAAAGGTGTATATGATGGTTTATTTTATTTTTTGAAAAGTGAGTTCAATTTTTTTTTTTTTTAATCTTTCTTAATTTTTATGTTAAAAAAAATGGAAAGAATGTTGCAACCTGATGCTACATGTACTTCGGCGGTTGTTTACAAAGTCTATGGGGTGTCAAAAAAAAAATTCTAAGTATCTCCTAACTAAACTGGAAATGTTCCTCAGTCCCAGATTCATGTCTTATCAGTATTTTTGCAATGACTGACGTTCATTGAGATGATATATGAAGACAAAAGCAGCGTCAGGTTGCGACACTCTTTAAAAAAACAATTTGTTAACTGTTATGATGTGAGATATGTCGTTAATCCAGCGTAGCACCCCCCCCTCCCACTTTGCCCTGGTTGCTATCTCCCCTTGGGCGTTCCAAACATCATATCCCACATCACAGCAGTCAACACTTGTTCAATGAGAAACAGCTATCAATCAGAGAACCATGCAAAAAAAATTTGGTACCATATCATTTGACAGTTATTAACCGCTGCGATAACAACCCATGTATGAATGGAGGCATCTGCATCAACCAGCCGACATTCTACATTTGCCAGTGTGTCAATGGCTACACCGGACCTCAGTGCTTACAGGGTAAGTTTACACTTCAGACGGAGGCCATCTTGGTCAAGCGCCCTGAATCCACTATGTGGATCATGTGTGGTTTTGCCACAATCTTGGAGTCACCAGTCTAATTTAATTTTTCTGAGCCGAAAGAGAGTTGGAAGTATGTATGAGTACAAATAAAGTGGAAAAAACAACAACTGGGACAACTTTTTCATTTGATTTAATGTGGAAATTATGTGGAAATTATGTGGAAATTATGTCAAAAAAGTTAGTAGTCTTGGCAAAATGAGACAAACGTGGGCACAGGCAGTAGTAGAGGAAAATGCCAAAAAAAAAGTGGTGTTTTGGGGTTTTTTTTATTTTCTGATTTATTGATATTTGTAATTTTTGATAGATCTACTACACATATTTTAAAAGAAAAAAGTATTAAATTGTGGAGTAAAAGAGTTTTTAAAGAAAAATAATTTGCATCTTTCATTTTCACGAATACAAAACTTAAACTTTCATGGCCTTTTTCTCAGTATTGTACATTTTGACATGTCGTTAAATGTAAACTTTAAGGAGCCATAACTTGTCAACAGAATGTCTGATTGAAGTGTAACAAACAGCATTGTAAGGAGAATTGTATTCCCTTTCCTAATACCACTAAACCCTCATTTAGACCTGTGCCCACTGATTTTTTTATTGTGTTTACAGATCAATTGTCTGCAATATGAGTTGGGGGGGGGGAGGTTCTCAAGTCTTAAAGAGAATTTTTTTTTTTAAGAGAGTGGAGGTGTAAGAAACACCCCCACCAGTATAACTACTTTTGCTTGGTTGCACTTGACCTAATTGAAGTGTAACTTTCATTAATTTTTTAATTTGATTTGCGTTTACAGATCAGGATGAATGCGCCAGCAACCCATGCTCAGTTAATAGTAACTGTATCAATGGGCGCAACAACTATACGTGCGATTGCTTTCCTGGTTACACTGGCATCAACTGTGGAACAGGTATGTGCAGGGATCAGAATAGAATTCACTATTTGGCTTAATGTGACGTCATATTTTGAGAGGCATGCAGCCCATAGTTGTGTACCAAATGCATATATCTATTTCTTATCGCTCAGTTTATTTGAAAAATTGGTAATAGGTCTCGTTCAAATGACGTCATTTCCTACAGACATCCACGTGCATTGGCATTTTGAGCGTCAACTTACACAACGCGCATCGACTGCATTGTATTTTGAACACATTTCGAGCAACAAGTGCGCGTGTGTGGAACATTTTCAACACTGCGCAACGCGTGCTTAATTGCATGCTTGATTGCGTAAAATACGCAGTTGCAGTTCTCCTACAGATGGCCGTCATTGAACGAGCCCTATAGAAAGCCATATCCTCTCTGAGTGATCCCCGTGTGCTATTTCCCAGGTTTGCAGCATTGCTTATGTTCCTAGCATCGTGATATTGGGCATGATCCCTGCCTACATATCATGTATGGGTTTATGGCTTCTGACCAGCGCCCCTTGAACAAAGACACTGACATACTGGGGAACCACTAACATAGGGCTGGATAGCTCAGTTGGTAGAGTGCAGGACCTGCAATCTCTAGGTTGCAGGTTCTAACCCCGCTCCAGTCAATTTCCGTGTTGGACGTAAAAAGAATCAACTGCACTTATGTGTAAATTTAAACCTCCAAATGGCTGGATTGGCGGTTGGAATTTTGAAAGTTATCAGCAATGCTTTTATAGCAAATACATTGCAGGAACCCTGATGTCCTAAATGTGACCTGTTCTGTCAAAAGCAGACACTTCTGGGCAGAGGTTGAAATTGAGATAGGGCCAAAAAACGCTGAGGGGTGATTTTTTTCCATTTTCTAATTTTTGCATATTTGTAATCCTGAGCATGTCTAAAATATACTATAAAAGTTTGAAACACCTAATTTGATCTCTAATTATAGTATTTTTGATGATTTTTTAAGGTATATCAGTAAAAGAAATTACTGGTTTGTGACGTTCGTGGCCATTTTCTCTGTTTTCTACTTTTCGACACAATGAACTTCAAAATAGCATAACTCTGCCCAGGAATGACCGGTTTCAAAAATTAAACCACCTATTAAAAGGAAACAGAACATATTTTAACAATATGCAAAAACCTCATTTTTGACTTTATGCCCAGAAAAGTCTGATTTTGACAGAACAGGTCACAATGTGAATTGACAATTTTTTAGCATTTTGCTCTATTTTTTCACACTGACCCACAGATATCAACGAGTGTTTTTCCAATCCGTGCATGAACGGAGGCGTGTGTACCAACCTTATCAATAGCTACAGCTGTTTCTGCCCTCTGGGGTTCACAGGATCCCGGTGTGAGACAGGTAGGTCTGGGGTTAGACTGAAGACTTTTTTGTTTTGCCAGTCAGAAATATTGGCACAAAAAAATAAATCTTGACTTTTCGTTTGGGAGAGGGGGGAGGGGGCAGTTGCATCTAAACGCCCATGAAATCCCAGCCTGTGGCCCTTCTTAATACAATTTGAATACTTTCTTAAAAGTAACATCTTTGAATACATGTGATTTCATCATGAAAAAGATGTGAATTCATAAAATTGAAAAAACAAATAATAGATACATTTGTTTTTGACCGCTTTTCACACAGGTGCTTCCAATGGCTTGTATCACTGAGAGTGGTCTTCAATAACATATTTAATCGTCGTGGTTGTAAAATCCATACAATTTTACTTTGTCCTACCTTCTTTTCTAACTTCTTTGACTTTCAGATATCAATGAATGTAGCAGTGTTCCGTGCCAGAACCAGGGCCGCTGTACGGATCTGGTCAATGAGTACCGGTGTACTTGTGCCCCGGGCTTTAGCGGCCCACAGTGTCTAATAGGTAACCAGTCTGGCTCGCAAATAACTGGGAGCACTTTTTTATCAACTTTAAAAGAACAAATTTAGCCTGTGTCCAGCCAACCTGGCTTATCAAACTAGTATTTACATGTTATATCCAGTTTTCATGGCATGGAAATGTTTCTTTACACACATGCAGAATGCCAGTGCATTGCAGTTCAGAAAATCACCAATTTTTTTGAGTCAGTCAAAAGAGAACAGTTAGTTGACAAGCAGGATAGTTGTTGTTGAGCTTAATATTATCGGCTAAAAAATGTCAGAAAATCTTTGAAATATCTGACTGTAAAACGTTGGCATGAAGCTGCAAACATTTTCCTTTTTTTAACAGACATGTGAAGCTTAAGGTATAGTTATAGATGACCAACAATTAGAAAATGCAAAAAGGAAACCGCAATTAGAAAAGCCTATTTAATTGAGTTCCTTTTCTTATGCTTCCAAAGCAGTGGCTACATCTATTATCACCATATTCCCATGAACTTGTCATGGATGTAGACCTAGACAACAGCTCGAGACATGAGATTCAGTCGCAACCTCATAGTGTTCAGGAACTCATGAATTATTCATCTTTATCATTCAGAAGATATGAATAATTCATATATTTTATCACGCCCCCCAATAGACATCAATGAGTGTTCTCCAAACCCCTGCATGAATGGTGCTACCTGCACAGACTTCATCAATAGGTTTGAGTGCCGCTGTGCTCCTGGATACACGGACACCGTCTGCGGAACTGGTACCCTGCCATCACATTTATTCCTCACTGCTAACGTTTCACCGTTGCTTCGTTACTAACATGCTTTCATTCAGTTCATAGCTTTGGTAAATCTGGTAAATCTGCACAAAAGATCAATCTTCAATGAACATTAGTTGATAAAAACTGAAAAAGACAACTTTGTACTTTTGTGTTTACGTACTTACGTTGAATCAGCATACAAATATGGAAAGGATTTTAGTCAAACTAGCATACATACTTGGAACACAAATCTTTTTATTGGAGCCATGTTTTTCACCATCAGCTTGGTCCATTCACCTTATTAATGAAAATGTTTCCTGTTTAACAACAATTTAAAGTACTAACAATTTTCTGCAGCTCGATGAAATCGGCTCAAATCTTCAAACAACAGATATGACCCTTTAATAGCTAACGTACTAACTATTCATGCTTTTACGTGCAGTGCGGTTGCATTTGAAATCAGAATCTGTGACCTATTCTATCAAATTGAGAAGATTGTTTACATTAAAAGAGTCCAGTATGATATTTTTATTGTCAAGCTCTAGCGTTGGCGCAGAAACACGTGCTGTCATTATTTTTATACCATTTTAAAGCCTGGAAACTGAACTTTATCCCTGGTGAGTACTGCTTTGATATTTAAAAGAGTTTTAAGATTATTCATGTTCAAATAAAGGCATGTCGAAAACAACCGATTTGAAGGAAAATCAATAATGCGGTACATCAGATGCAAACTCGAGTCACACTTGGAGCGCGCTGTTTGAATAGGTACATACTTGCACGTGAATTTCAAAATTGAACTTGAAACAAAGAACAATATTGTGAATTCATTTAAGGTGTAGTCTACCTGGATCGAAAAAAATACAAAACACAGAAAGTAAAAGGAAACGAGATCGTCACATCATGAACATGATGAACCGTTTCCACATTAGACAAAATTCGCATGATTGAGTTTAATTGAAATCAGTTGAGTTTGTTTTTGACATGCCGTTATTTGAACACAAATCATTTCAAAATCCTTTTGTAAATCAAACCAATACTTACCAGGGATAAGTTAAAATTCCAAGCTTTAAAATGATATAAAAATAATGGCAGTACGTGTTTCCGCGGCGACGCTAGAGCCTCGCAAAAGATGTTGGGGGTATTTTGGAACGCGCTGTTTAAAATCTTGAACGTATTATCTTCCAGGCATGCAACTTTTCCTCGGATCTGCTGATTTTCTCTTTCTTAACTTCCCATGTGTGCCATTAAAAATAGAAAAACTCTGCACAAAGTCTTAGAAAGATTTGAATTTTCTCTTTTTTTTGTGAGATCCCAGTTGCATGCCTGACCTTCCGAGCAGATCAATTTGACTTTACAAAATTCTGAAGAGGACTGTCTGGCTTTCAGTATTGTGTACAAGGGAGTCTCTGAATCGCTGAGTTTGATAGAATCGGTCACAACAGTCTCATTTTGACATTGACTTTGTAGACAAATCCAGGCATATGATCACTGTAGATTTACACAAGGCCCCCTTCAATGGAGAAACCTAAACAATAGCTAGCACAATGCTTTGGCCATTGAAGGGGGCCTTCATGATAGAATTGATAGCTTGCCCGGATTGGTTTATATACAAGGTGAGTCAAAAAACACGAAACCCAAATGTCAGGACCATGGTCCCAACATTTGGGTTTCGTTTTTTTTTTACTCATCCTGTATTCTTTTCATTACTAACCTACTTTTTCACCATCAAACAAAAGGTTTCATGTACTATACAAATTTCCCATAAAGGGTTAAAATTAGGACATGTAGGGCTGCACTCTGGCTGAGTGACGTCTTTTCTTTATAAAAAAAATTAGTAGCTGCAACTCCTTGTTCCAGATGTTGGACTTCGGGGCATCCTTTTCAGTACTAATGATTTTATTTAACTCCGCACATTTTGAAATTTTCGACTTGTTTATTTTAACACATCAACACCAACCAACAGACTTCTGTTTTAAAGACATATAGAATCATTTGCACTAATCCCAATAGTAACCTACCAAATCGTTATAAAAATATCTTATTTGTGTTAAAGATCGTACTGGTACTACACACCTTGTGAAATTATTCCGCCTGGCTTGCTGTCATTTAGAAGAAATATCAAGCAATGTAGGTGATCTCCAACGATCAGTCAATTGACTGATCGTTGGAAACAAAGAGCAACATTAACAAAATCGTGTTTCATGATCAAAAGGTTGTGCACGGTTTTTCAATTTTCCTCGAAAAGGGTAATATCCACTGAGCTGAAACTTCAACAGGTTAGGTTGTCAACAGTCTTCTTTGGATTTTGAGTGGTGTTATTATTGGAAACGAACAAAATGCATGAAGTGCAAATGATCCTATATGCCTTGAACCATTCCACTATTTAAACTCTGAGTCTAACAGTAGTGCATTGGCACATTGCTTGTACTGTAACAAAAATAAACTAACCAGCACCCGATTTCATCTAACTCTTCGTAATTTAAGATGCATCGCAGCGATGCGACGCGTCGTATCTCTACGATGCGTCGCAGCTGCGACGCGTCCTGCGATCCATTTCACAAAACACGTCGTAAGTGCGACGCGTCATAGGTGTATTTATAGCACAACTCGGTGACTGTTTTATGTATAAAGTCAGCGTTCAGTAAATAGTCGTCTGATATTCAGCAAAGAGTCGTCGGATCTCAGCTCGAAATTTGTTAAAATGTAAAACAAAATGGCGGCCGTGCGATGCAATTTTGAAGGAAAACAAGGTCTCATTGGACTGTATAGCTACTTTGAAATTTCAACTCATATATTACGGTCTAATTCATAATTATTCAATGAATTTTCTATTTACAACTTTACACACATTGCCTCGGTATTATAATCTCGTTAATGTAATGTTTATGGCATAAAACTGTCTTTAGAAATAACTCTTCTTATTTTGCGACGACCACTAGACACGTCGTAACTTGCGATGTGTTTTAAGCCGTTGTCAAGGAACTTACGACGCGTTCAACACATCGCAACTTTCGTGAAATGGAAGATACGACGCATCGCGAGTTGCGACGTGTTACACATTCTAACTCAAGTTGACGCGTTGCAGCGCTTCGTGAAATCGGGTGCAGCTCCACTCTGGTTAATAACCCATTGATCCCTGTCCCTGAGGCAGTACAAGATAGTTTTGGGACTGAAGAAAATAGGACAACTTGATTTTGAAATCTCTGAATTCTCCCATTGATCGTACAAGGCATATCAGGCTGTGTCTGTCACTCCCTGTACTTATCCAAATTATCTCGGCATACTGTGGTTTTATGGAATCATCAAGGAATACCCACAATGTAGTACAAGCCCCAGAATGGTAAATATCCACACAGGCAGCAAGCAATTGCATCAGCATTAAAATCGTTTGTCATATTATATTTTTCCCCATTTGTACCTATCAACCAGATATCAATGAGTGCGCCAACAACCCCTGCAGGAACGGTCAGTGCGACGATTTGGTCAATGCATATAGGTGTAATTGCTTCCCTGGATACACGGGATCCAACTGTGACATAGGTAAGTCAAATCATAATCTTTCCAGTAGAGTGTCATGGGCTCCGTGCACAAGTACCCCCTCAACGGTACGAAAGGGAGAGTTAGGGGAGATGGGAGGGACATTCGAACGCATTGCCAACAAAGCCTGACGCTCACGCAACGATACTATGGTTTTGTTGCATACATTCAGTCATGCGTACTTTGCGCCATATGCGCATGAACTAGTACGCTCACCCGGTGTGTCCTCCCACTGGAGCTCTGAAAAGTGGTCAAAGGGCGCCCTCTCCTATTCCCGCACGGAGCCCATACAGTTGTCTGCTGTGGTGTAGTCAGTGGCGTTTTGCACGCCGGAGGGATACAAATGTCACTTAAGGCAAATCCAAGGAGGCCATTTGCCCTTGAGGATGTACAAAACCCACGGACTATATCACAACAGATGACAATTGTTTATTATGCATAGCAGTAATCATTTCAAAATCTTGAAGAAATTAACAATACAATATAAAATAAAATGTCAGTTTCGTGTTTATACAGGATGTTTATGATTAAACACCTCTATGCAGTTTAATTGATCTGATACACCGTGCCCTCTGGAGACATGCACACAATAGGGAACAAAAGATTGTGTACGTCTCCACAGGGCAATTTCTACAGGTGAATACGTCTCCACAAGGTTATCACGAAATAGATATATGGATTTTACTCAAAAACCAGGAAATTCCAAGGTATGGTGATCCGTCGCAAATGGAAGAGTTTTAGAAAAGGGATATTAAGTCCGAATTTTAGCCAAGGAAATAAATTCTGGTTAAAATAAGAGCATTTTGAAACTATAATTTCAAACTCGGTAATATGTGCATCTGCAGTGACATAATTTTTTTAACACTGTATACTCTGGGCTTGTGAGGAAAGATTGACAATCTCACTTGGGTTGGATTGGAACCCACGACCTCCTGCTTACTAGTGCAGATGTCGTACCACCGGACCACCGAGCTTGCCGTGAACAGCTGGCTGTTGGAGTCTGAAAAGCAGTGGGTACCGCAACCAACCACTGTTAAAATTATGAAATTAATGCGTCGGTGAGATGTAAATTCAATGATGTAACATAATACTGTCATATCATTACGTTTGAAACCTTCCTCAGGGATTGATGAGTGCGCTAGTGGGCCATGTCTGATGGGCAGCACCTGCAACGATCAGGTCAACGGATACTTCTGCGACTGCGTCCCCGGCTACACTGGTGTCCACTGTGATACGAGTAAATGTCTCAAGACTTTACGCTAATTATCAACATTATCCACAGCCTTCGTAGAGTTTGTCTCAACTAAATAAAGCAAAATGCAGTGACTGAATTTTCATCCCAGAGTTGTAAACAATTTGTTACGTGTCAGTCTCACGTCATCAAGTTACAAGCGGTCAGGGCCCAATTTTGTGACTCTGCTAACCACAGAATTCCAGCTTACGAACACCATTTTGCGCTAACTGGGCTAGCAGATAAATCTGTGTTTACCCTGTAAGCACAGAATCCTTAGTTACGGGATGTACACATGCGCTAAAGCCAAAGTTCCTTACCTGTGAAATACGCTTATGGTAAGCACAGAATTTTTTGCTACAGTAAGCAGGGACTTTTCGCTAACGGTAAGCAGAGCGATGAAAATGGTCTCAGCTACAGTAAATACAATCCATTTTCACTATTCATCCCCTGGTACTTGTGGCAGGACTTGTGATTTGACATGTAACTGACTTGATTACAGCCCTGTTTAACTCTTTCAGTGCCCGCGAAATATGAAAAGTTTCATATAATTGTTCAAAATTCTGTAAAAAAAAAAAAAGTAAACAAGTTTTACTCACTAAATTTGTTGTTGCTCTCTGGTATATCCTTGGTACATTTGAAAGTCAATAAAGACTCTAAAAGTATTATAGACAAGAATGAGTAATTTCTCAAGGGAATAAATATAGTTTTTCCAAGCAGTTCTGCATTTTCTAGAAAGGCCAAAGAAAAAATATCTGTGTTTCCGGTTACCTCACCTAACCCAGAAAATTATGCAGAACCTAATTTTTTTTATTCAAAAAAAAAACTTACAGTGCCGCCCAACCCTAGTTTTTGCAGCCATCGGCCTGCATTTCTGATTTCTTTTCATTTTTTGTAAGTTGGTCGGCAGTGAGATTTTACCATGCCATTCAGCGAAACCTATAAACGGGACGGCACATGCAAAATAAACAGTGGATTCACATGTTCACATGCAAAACAAAAGTTTTAAAATTAATTGACCACCCTGGGTTTTTTTTTTCTGGAAACAAAAATTTAGAGGTAAAAAAAGAAAGTTTTCACACTGACCAACCCTCAGTATTAAAGTTCCGTGTCATAGAAAAAACAACTTTTGTTTCTTGGCCTGATTTGTGAAATAAAAAGAAAGTATCAATCTCAACACAATGACAGTGTAAATTGTTTCAACCAAAAAGCTTCCAGTATTTACATATCAGAAAATGTTGATAAACGACCCTCTAATCCCATTACAACTCCCGTAGATATCGACGAATGCAGCAGCCAGCCATGTATGAACAATGCCACATGCGTGGACGTCATTAATTCCTTCCTTTGCCTGTGTGACGCCGGCTACCAGGGAACTTTATGCCAGGACGGTAAAAAAAAACCCGGAATCTGATTCCTTCATGGTCATCGTCATTTCACTAACCAAAATTAATCCTGGATTTTCATTAACCTCCGCAGGTCACCTTGGAATGAGTTTGAAAATAACACCATTCTTCGTTTAACATATTTGTACGTAATGGGGGGCTTTAGCTGCACTTCATACGCGAATGTCAACGCGAATGTGAAGGCCATTGTGACTTGCTTCCACAAATCCCGGACAAAGTTGACGTTTTTTTAAGTTACGGCATTTTCATTTTCTGAGTTTGTCGTCTTCAAAATGGTATATAATTTTCATAGCTACTTTGACCCTATCCCCCGGGAGAGCTATAGTCCATCATTTGCAGCTATCACACATTTTTTTCACCAAATGGACCAAAAAGCACATTTCGGCTGGATGGATTCTATTCATATATTGTGAGGTTGTAAATTTATAGTTACTGATTCAGAAAACCTCAAGTACTCAAAATTTTCAGTTTCCACCTCAAAATAACTTCACATGTTCTTTTGGTGAAAACAACTTCAGCAACTTTGTCTGGGTTTCGTGGGAGCAGGTCTCATTTATGCGTTGATGTGTACGCAGACTTTTTGCGTTCACACTCACGTTTTTTTTTCTCGTGCAACGTGTTGCTAAACCTCTCTAATATCACTTTGTTGTTGCTGACCTCGGCTTAATCTCACTGAGCCGTTATAAAACCTAAATTCATCTGGTTAGCAAATTTAGCTGGGAACCAGTTGCAAACAACAATACAGTCCCATGTATTTTGCTGGTAACCTGTTTTAACCTGAGCAAATTTGTCTCTGGGCTTAGAAGATTTCTGCTCCATGAAATTTGGCCCCTGATCGTTTTTTTTTTTCTTCGCTAAGGACGGCTTGAGATTCCTCATCAGTCTCCTTTTCAAAGAAGGGTTCAGACTTTTACTGATAGTAAAAATTAAAAAAATTGGTGATGGTGCTTATACTACCATTATTTGAGTTCTTAATTTTTCCTTGATGCAATTAAAAATTACAATCGCTATCTCTATGCTCTTCAGCAAATTTGACTTTTTTTTCTGGTAATGAATTTCAACGTGTATGTTTTATTTGAGCCAAAAAAATCTTTCTTTTTTGCTCTGTGGGACATCTGCATCCCTCTAAAAAAAAAATGTTTTTGTTTTGGGCAAAAACAGATCTGCTTTGAGAGTAGACTGGCTCCCGCTCCGTACATTATCGATACTGATTGTGTGGCAGGAACTAGCCCACCCATGAGAACGGTTTCAAATTGTAAAGTAATAATTCAGTAACTAAACAGGTGATTCTTTTGGTTGATGTCGCATTGAATAACTTTTGTATTGCTAGAAAAATAGCAATTTAGAAAAGGGGTCTATTTTTCAGAATGAAGTTCAAAAAAAGCATGGGGAATGCAACTTTAATGTTCTAGTTAAAAACAACTGCCGTCATGAAACTAACTTTTTTTCCCCCGTATTTAAAGCATGTATCAAATTACTAACCTATCGACTTTCTTGCAGAATTCATGACTTTGTATTTTTTTGTCTAGACACATCTCTCATATTTACAACGATTAACCATGCGACATGGATTTATTCCATGTACCATTTACTAACTCATAACTTTGACTTCTTTCAGAGCACTCTCATTCTGTTTGTTTAGCCCATTCTTATCTGTCTGTCCGTCTGTCTGTTTGTTTGTTTCTGGTGTCTGAAGCTATGTGGCCGACGGGTTTAACAAGCCAACTCACCATTTCAGTCAGTTTATCAACATTACTGTATTGTATGTTCCATGGTTGGTGTCCTGACTTTGTTAGCTGTGTTTATGTTGTGTTTGTTGATAAGGGTGTGGAACCATACTAACTGTGACCCAAACGCTGTCCGAAACGTTGAGTTTCCCCCGGTTCCTTCCAGAACCTCACAAACTCACAAAAGAGCTTTGCTAGACGGTGATGATAGAAGCGCTTGGTGATACTTCCAGTGCCTTGGGTATATAGCGCCCTCATACACCAGCGCGGTGCTCGTTTAAGTACTGTCCTTCAATCTCTTGCCAGATATCAACGAGTGTGGCAGCGGGCCGTGTCTTAACAATGGTCAGTGCACCGACAACATCAACCACTTCATCTGTTCCTGTCCCACCGGCTATGCAGGGCTTCGTTGCGAACTCAGTAAGTTGTGTTTTGAACTTACACCCTAGGGTCTTCTACTTGAAGAACATGCCCTGTAACTGTTAATGCCTTGCAAAATTCTTGCAGTGATGATACCCTTCATGACTGTTCTGTTTCTTTAGAAATTTCAAGGTAACTACTGATTCTCATACCCTGCTCCCAAACTGTGAAGCTGTCGCGCCCCCTTTTTTTCTCTATTTCCACATTTTTCCCGTACCCCAGACCAAAAACAAGCTATCTCAAATTTCAGATACTCCTTGAACTTTTCCAGTTTAACCTCCCCGTGATGTATTATGCCCTCTTTTCTTCATGTAAAGAAAAATATGTTTGTTCTTAAGGCCAAAAAAAAAAAGTCTCCGGTTTCTGGTATGGAGCTTGCCCCAAAAGTGGTGCGGCGACGCGGGTTTTTTTTTTTTTTTTTACCCGTTTTTTTTTTTTTTTTTTTTTGGCTTCAAATGTCGGCTGATGACTGCAAATGGTGCCCGACTAAACTTAGTGCAAATATATGGGAGTCCAGAGAGGCCACATAAAGCTTATTCTCGATCATAACCCCATCTAAAAATACGTTAAAATTGTGCAGCAGCAGGATTCCAGTCAAACCAGTGAGTTTGGCGGTTTTGAGACATCATCTTGTATTGAAAAAAAAACTTTTTCATTTTGCCGACGCGCATGGCTACGGCGACGCACGCGCATACCAGAAACCACAGACTTTTTTTTTTGGCCTAACATAAAAAGATAGTTTTCTTCACTTTGTTGTCACTTTCATCCATACGTGGTATTTGGATTAAAAATCTTACATCAGAAACACATGATGAGAAGAAAACACCTTAAATTATTATTTCATGGCATCCCTCTTTCTGAAAAGTTTTTATTTGTAATATTTTCCAGATGTGCAGGAGTGTGTCAGTAATCCATGTCAGAATGATGGAGTGTGCGACGACAGAGTCAACTCGTATGCTTGTATCTGTAAACCAGGCTGGACGGGAAGCAACTGTGAACTCTGTAAGTAGTGATGTTATCCCAGACAATTGGACTGAGTCCAATGATTTTCATCGGCCTTGTGCATTGTTGTAATTGACACCTTTTTGAGACCAATTGACACATCATTTTTTTTATACATAGATTATTTCCTAATGTTTTTGTCTCGATGAGACTGCACAATTGACCTGCACAATTGGCCTACAATCAAGAAGTAATGAACTCAAAACATGCTATTAATCAGACCTCAACTGCTAGTATATTTGGGCGTCATTTTGTTTATATAGTGCAAGAAAAAAAACACTAGCGGCCGGACTAGTGCAGTCACACACAGCACTAGACCGACGCTAAAATCACTAGACACGGTCCACGGTCCAGTGGGTATTTCGAGCCCTGATGATGCAAGCAGCTATTGGTCAACCAGCAATGCAACCGCACCCCAGGCTCCAGTTCCAAATGGTCAACTAGAGTCACTCTAGTTGAGTGGAGTAGTCAACTAGAGTCACTCTAGTTGAGTGGAGTAGTCAACTAGAGTCACTCTAGATGAGTGGAGTAGTCAACTAGAGTCACTCTAGTTGAGTGGAGTAGTCAACTAGAGTCACTCTAGTTGAGTGGAGTAGTCAACTAGAGTCACTCTAGTTGAGTGGAGTAGTCAACTAGAGTCACTCTAGTTGAGTGGAGTAGTCAACTAGAGTCACTCTAGATGAGTGGAGTAGTCAACTAGAGTCACTCTAGTTGAGTGGAGTAGTCAACTAGAGTCACTCTAGTTGAGTCGAGTAGTCAACTAGAGTCACTCTAGTTGAGTGGAGTAGTCAACTAGAGTCACTCTAGTTGAGTGGAGTAGTCAACTAGAGTCACTCTAGGTGAGTGGAGTAGTCAACTAGAGTCACTCTAGATGAGAGGACTACTGTAGTCCACTCATCCTTCGTTGGAGTGGAATAAGTCAAACTATGGTTAACCATAGTTTGCACCTAAACTTGCCCTTTGTTTCAGCTTTAAATGAACCTTCAATTTTCTCTCTTTTTTGCTTACAAGCTGTGGACGACTGCGTGGGTTTTCCCTGCCGGAATGGCGGCACGTGTCGCGACGGCCATCAATCCCACACATGTAACTGTTTCCCTGGCTTCAGCGGTGTCAACTGTGAAATCAGTAAGCACATTTTCGTTTCCCTATTTGCCAGCATTCAAATATGCATAAAATGCTTAAGCCCATACTACTCAAAACTGCTTAGCTCACAAAAATATGTCAGGTTTTCTGGGAAAATAAGACAGTTCCATCTCATTTTGCCAGAACGCCTCACATAATTGCTTAGCAAAAAGGTTGCTAGCAAATTCAATTTCAATTTCAAGACCAATTTCACAGTGCTACTTCAGCACAGAAGTTTGATAAGCTCCGCCACTATTTTTTTAAAGGACCCATGCAATGTAATTTATTTGAATGCAATCCTTGAAAACACACCTTTGCCGTGTCCCATTTAACTTTATTTTCAATTTTCGTTGTGCCATTGTCAAGGGTATTTTGGTGCCTTTTTGGTTTTATGCTAATGCAAATTTCCATATTCATGAGCAAGAAATGTGATGTCATTTCAGGCAGAAAGCTCAATGTTACAGCTATTTCAGCACCAAAACTTGCCAAAATTTGAGATATTTTGCTGTCAGATTTTTTTTCTTCATTTGTGATTCAATGTTGTTTCAGTATTTTCAACAAGTAAAATTTATCTATATCACTCCAGAAGTGCCCCAGCACTAAATACTTTTTTTTTGGCTTCATCGGGAATGAGTAAAACAAAACAATTCAATGCAAGTGCTAATGGGTCCAACTAATTTCAATTTGTGTCCCCAGATGACAATGAGTGCAGCAGTCTTCCCTGCTTAAATGACGGTATCTGTACAGACGGCGTCAACATGTTCACCTGTCAATGTACCGGTGGATGGAGAGGACTCCGCTGTGAAATGGGTATGGCCCTATTGACCTATCGCCGCTTGCGAGTTAGCCACGCCCCTTAGACAACCCCATGGATTTTTGTTCACTGATTTTTGTTTGTCTCAGATTTTACGTGTGTCGCGTCCATTTGTATATCATGCAATTGGACAATATTTCATAAGCTGTGTTGATGTGATTCTATCACAATAGGTCAATTGCTTTCTACTTGCCTTATGGCAGCGTTGTACTACTCGCACTCGGAACTCATACGCCAGTACAACTCAAGTACTCTTGAGAATACCTGTACTCACTTGACTTTCAAATACTCGTACTCAAATTATGATATTTATACTTGAAAATACTAGGACATGACTATTTGATGTTGTTTTTCATTGTCAAAGTATTCATACTTAATTAAGGACTCCGGGGAAAAAAACAACCCATTTAATTTTGATTGAGAAAATCTCAAAAAAAAAGAATACAAAAATGCCTTCAAGAAGTCTTGCTCAAACACCCATGCTGCTGAATAGGTGGTTTCAGTTTCGACTCTTTATTTCAGATTTTAATTGTTATTCGCTTGAATACTCCATAAAGTACTCGTATTCGGAGGTCCCAGTACTTGTACTTGTTTTCAATGGTCTAAGTATTCAAACTTGGCTTCACAAAACCTGTACTCAAAGGTCCAAGTACTTGGACTCGGGTATCTGTACTCATTCTCAAGGGTCAAAATACTCAATGCGAGTAGTACTCAAAAGCTTGGTACTCGGCAGTACGTTGAATCGGATAAAAGTATTTGATTACAACACTACCACATGAACTCGGTATTAAGTACTTCTCAACCATGAAAAGGAATCCTTTGTGCCGACAAACTGATGGTCAAACTCTAATCTTACAGATTCTGTAAGACTCATTTAGGATAACATTTTGTTGCGTATCTCATTACCCAGACGTGAATGAGTGCGCCAGCAACCCGTGTTTCAACAATGGTGTTTGCATCAACGGTCGCAACAGTTACCGCTGTAGTTGCCTGTCTGGCTGGGAGGGTCTGCGTTGCAGTATCGGTGAGTTTTGTCTCAAATGTTGTTACCTTGTTTTATTTTTCATGCATATTGGCTACTGTGCTCCTTCACAGTTCTGTTGCTCAAGAGCAACACAAAGAAGAAAAAAAAGTTCAGTCTTAGATGTGGTAGGAACACCCCAGAGTGATAGTTCTTAGGAAACCGACAGCATCAGGCTGAGAGTGAAAACCCAGTCCACAAGTTGACTAAGGTGGGTTTGGAGCCAAGGTCAGAGAGGCAGGGAACATTTTGAAGAATTCTAGTTACCTAACATTTCTTGTCTAATTTGTTTTCTCGTTTTTTAGAAACCAACGAATGCCAGCCGCCCACTGGTAACCCCTGCAGTCACGGAGGTACCTGCATTGACAGGATCAACTCGTATGAGTGCATCTGTGCGCCGGGCTACGAGGGATCCAACTGTGAACGAGGTAAATTGGAGATAATCCAGAACCTAAGTCTGTGGGCACGTGTGGTCTAGCGGTAGAGCACATGATTCATGATCATGAGGTTGTGGGTTCCAGCCCCGGCGTGGCCATGCGTGTTGTGCCCTTGAGTAAGGTGCTTTACCTCAATTACTCCTCTCAACCCAGGTGTTAAATGGGTACCGGCATTATTCAATGCTGGGAAGGTAACAGACTCGCTGTGGAGGAGGTGTGGTGATCCCCCCACAGCAGCATATGAGTCTGGCCCAATTGCTAACGAAAGAGAGATGGGCACTCCGTTCCTGTTAATACAGGTTCGTCCCCTTTACTTTGAGTCTGAGCATTGGAGGGAGTCTTGGGCTGACCAGAAAGTCATTCATCCACGGGGCTTTTCAGAATATGCGAGTGTAAGCCATTCTTCCCCTGCCCCCATGCCCATTCGCCCTTAACTCCTGACATTTGCCTGAAAAATATCAAAATGTGAATTTTTTTTTATGGCATTGGCAACTGGAAATGAATGAAACTCAAGGCAAAAATTATTTTCTGTTGGCATGGCAATAACGTATTTGTTTTTGATTTCTTATCAGTACTCTAGTTTGAAATAGTCGGACATAATTTTAAAATTAGAAGTTTTCTTTTTTTTAGAGAACGATTATTTCAAGGTAATCTGTGTACTTTTTATGTTTTAAAGGTAGAGTACATCATTTGCAGCTATCCAAATAGTAACTGACAAAATTATTGTTAAAAAGCATACTTGGTTTACAGATAGTAATGGTACTAAACTCCCTGTGAAATGAAAAAAAAAAAAGAGGTCATTTCCAAAGATGCGCCTAAAGACACATTTTCGAAATTTCCTTTAGTAGTTTGTTGGATCCCGTGAATGGGTGCGTGCAAGCATTGACACGACGCACACACGCGCACGGTTGCTATAATTCGTCGGATCAGTGCGTGACATCACGTAGCTGCAATCGGCTGAATAAGAACGTGTCCCGGACTCTGAATTCTGGTGCAATTCAAAATATGACTTGGCAACTTTTGATTTGAAATCGAGATCCTAAAATATTGGGGTTTTTTTCAGGATATACAGCATTCACTGAGCTAAAATTTCATCAGTTTTGTTGTTCAGCACCTTTCTTTAGATTGTGAGCAGTTTTGTTGATTCAAAAAAAAAAAATGCACAACTGACAAATGATGTACTCTACCTTTAATACAACTGAACGCTTCTGTAATTTTGCCTGCGCAATATGCACTGACGACTTGTGTCGTTACAGATATCAATGAATGTTCAAGTTCCCCTTGTGAGAACAATGGCGTTTGCAGCAACCTCATCAATGCTTACACCTGTACGTGTATCCCAGGCTACTCAGGACTCAACTGCCAAATCGGTAAGTTTTTTTATTTCCAACTTTTCTATGGATGATAATCTGTATTTAAACGCACTGAATCCATTCAGAAATTAGAGAGAGATTGTCTGGTAATTTGGAAAACTTATCAGTTAGTTTTAGGGGATTAGTTTTAATGTAGTTAATTTATTTTTGAGAAACGTTTAATCCAAATTCTCTTCTGAAGACACTTCTGAAGATATCTACAACTGTTTTTCTTGGTGATTTTAGCATGAAATACACATCCTTTGTCATGTTCACTGTTGTATTTTCTGCTCTTAAAATAAACCAGAGCTTTTTCAAAATGTTTGGATTAGGGTGAATAAAGCAGAGCTTGATCACATCGGGTTACTTTGCAGAAAATAGTACACTATATCATTCAATTATAACAGTTAAAATAACAAACATACTTCGAATATACAGAGCAGTGTTGTCAATGTTTTTCTTACAAAAAAATAAAAATCTTGAAGAAAGAAAAAATCTTGAAAATGACTTAATTGTATTTTGATGGATTTTGAAACGACCTTTATGCTATTGTGTCTTTTTTTCACAGAGGACAACCCTTGCGCCGTTATGCCGTGTAGCAATGGCGGCACGTGTGTTAATCGCATCAGTTATTACACGTGTAGCTGTCCGCAGGGTTTCATTGGTCTCAACTGTGAGGACGGTGCGTATTATGTTCATTGCTTTTGAAGTTTCCATCGTTTTTTTGAACGCATTAAAATTGCAGAATGTGGATTCGATTACCACGTCCCCCATGCGTAATTTTTTTTCCTAGGAGGGTTAGGGGCAATGTCATGAATAATTCAGTTTTTCCTTTGAATCATTGCAAGACTTAGGTTCTCGTTCTATTTTCCCCTTAATTTAAAATTATCTCAGTGATAAATTATGAGAAGAAAAATAGCTGATGAAAATGAGCAGCGACGACGTGGATTCGAACCAGGGATCTTTGTATCCATCATGTCCATAGCTCATCTCGCTATCCACTAGGCTATTGTGTGGTAGCTCGACGACAACCGTTCTTTAAAATGCTTTAATGTATTGTAACTAGTAGAGTACTTAACAACAATGCTGTTGATGTCATTGTCCGTTCTCATGGATAAACATGTATTATTCATGACATTGCCCCTAACCCTCCTAGGAATAAAAATTACGTGTCCCCCATAGACTTGTGTGCAATTAGCTGCCGCGTGTATCCCAAAGTCTAAATTCTTGAATCTTGTTGTGCACATGTGCAATAGGAATAACTGAATTGGCTCAACCATTAATTTCATTAAAACTAAATGATTCTTATATTTCATCTGCAACTCTGTCAGAGTGTCTCAAAATCTTCTCCAACTTCATGGAGAGACCCATACAGGGTGATTGTAAAAAACAACCAAATGTTGGGACCATTGTTTTGGTGAAGTCCTGCATGTAGCACTTTCAAAGTCTAGGATATGAAAGCCCAATTCATAAATCTATTTTTTAGTTCCAGAATCATTCAAATCACTCATGTACTTTTCAAGTTACGGAATTTTAAACACAACTACCATTTTAAAGTTCTGTCCATGAATCACAAAAAAAAGTGTGCATTCTTTCAGCGAAACAAAAACAATTCGCGCACATCCTGTGTGATTTGTTTTCATTTTGCTTAAATAACACTTTTTTGCGATCTGTGGACAGAACTTTAAAATGGTGGTTGTGTTTAAAATTGCATAACTTGAAAATTACATGAGCGATTTGAACGATTCTTGTACTAAAATAAAGCTTATGAAAAGGGCTTTCATGTCCTAGATGTTGAAAGTGCTGCATGCAGAACATCACTAAAGCAATAATCCTGACATTTGGGTTTCCTTTTTTTTTACTCACCCTGTATTATTATTGGTGTCTTTTTTTCCATCTACCTGACAGATTTTGATGAGTGCCAAGGCAACCAATGTCAGAACGGAGGCACCTGCAATAACCTAATTGGATCCTACTCCTGTACCTGTGTCGCTGGCTGGACTGGCAACAACTGTCAAATTAGTAAGTCCTTAGTTCAGACCAACGGCGTATCCATCAGGAGAACTTTCACAATTTTTTTTTAACTTCCACTTTGACCAATTTTATTTGTATCTTGTAATTTTTGGAACTGGTAGCACCGGCACATCATAACTGACATTATACAACACCTGAATAAATCCTCGTCATCTGATTGGTGGATCGTTGATCACATGTCATTGAATTATTTGTACCAATGCACAGCGTGCGCGTGGCGCAATGGAAGTTCTATCGCACAGTGAATAGAACTTCCATTGCACAGTATACAAATATAACATGGTTTGAGGGTGGACAGTCGATATTCGCTCCCCGAGGTATTGGAAGTTGAATATGATTGTTCTCAACCTGTTGAACAGTTTGCAACATTAATATAAATATGATGAACTGGTCAAACTTTTAAACAGTTTTTAACCTGAATAAATTGGATATTAAAAGTCAACCAATCAGATGACAAGGATTTATTCAGGTGTTATATAAAACAAATAATGAATGTTTCACGTTCGTGCAATGGAAAGAATAATTTCATTCGGTGACAGATGAAATATTCCATTCCACTCGGCTACGCCTCGTGGAATGGAACATTTCATCTGTCACCTCATAAAATTATTCTTACCATTGCACTTACAAACATTCATTATTTGTATACTGGTAGTAATAATACCACCCTTCTCCCCCTTCATTGAGCAAAATAACTGAGGCAACATTTTGTGAAAAATAATGTGTTTTTGCAAGGTGTTGGTAGTTGACAAACTAGCTCCATCAGTTTTGCCCGTAGAACTAATTTGTCAACTTCCAACAGATCAACATCAACCCTCAAACCATGTTATACAGGGTGAATAAAAAAAAGGAAACCCAAAGGCCAAAAAAAAAAGTCTCCGGTTTCTGGTATGGAGCTTGCCCAAAAAGTGGTGCGGCGACGCGGCTTTTTTTTTTTTTACCTGATTTTTTGCTTTAAATGTCGGCTGATGACTGCAAATGGTGCTTTACTAAACTTAGTGCAAATATATGGGAGTCCAGAGAGGCCACATAAAGCTTATTCTCGACCATAACCCAATCTAAAAACACGTTAAAATTGTGCAGCAGCAGGATTCCAGTCAAACCAGTGAGTTTGGCGGTTTTGAGACATCATCTTTCATTGAAAAAAAATTGTTTTCATTTTGCCGACGTGCATGGCTACGGCGACGCACACGCATACCAGAAACCGGAGACTTTTTTTTTTTGGCCAAATGGTGCCCTATATTTTTTAAAGAGGTCAAAAAATGGTGTTTGTTTTCAAAATTGCAAAACCGGAAACTTTTCCATGTACTTACATGAGCAATTTGAATGATTCTTTCACTAAAAGGAAAGCTTATTAATTAAAGTAGTTTTTCATGAAAAGAAGGCATACAAAATGAAAAGTCATCAGGACCAAAAACAAAATCAATTAATCGAAGAGCCAGGGTATGCATTTTTAATAATAAAAAAATAATAATGGAGTCTTATATAACGCACATATCTACCAACAATTAGGTACTCAAGGCGCTGGAAATTATGTCAATTATTAAAGAAAGGTAATTAAAGTTTATGAGAAATATGAGACCCATTATGTAGCACCTTATAATGGTTTACAAGGTGCTGCGGCGCACATTGCAGCCACTGCCAGAAACACCAGGGCAAACCCCTTCTCTTAGCGATAAGTGTTACTGGGTTCTTTAACGTGCATTACACAACACACAGGACTTACGGCTTTACGTCCCATCCGAAGGACGAAGCAATAATGGTAAAGTGCCTTGCTCAAGAGCACAAGCACCATGTTCCCATGGTCAGGATTCGAACCCATGCACCACGGCACACGAGTCGAACACCGTAACCATTGGACCACAGCGCCCCACTAATTTTTAACCCCAGTGGTGGGGATTAAAACCTTTGAAAATTTGATATTGTTCGTTTAAAACAAGATCTTTTACAAAAGCTAAGAAGATATTTCGTTCTGAATGTTTCCTCAGACGTTAACGAATGCTCCATCAACCCTTGTCTCAATGGCGGTACGTGCACCGACCTGATCAACCGTTACATCTGCACATGCCCGCCGCAGTACGCTGGCCCGGTGTGCCAGACGGAGCTAGACGCTTGCCGCAATAACCCCTGCCGGAACCAAGGAACCTGCATCAACTTCAACACGTACTTCCGCTGTTCGTGCCCGGCTGGGTGGGTCGGGGATACCTGTGAGATCGGTGAGTTTGTTTGTTTTATTTCCATTTTTTTCTTAATGAAAATGAAAGAAAATGATGAAGTTTTTGTATCTAGCATTGGGCAATAAATGAATGATTTACAAATTGGGTTGAAATTCACGAGGAGAACTTGAACCTCCTTTAAAAAGGGCAGACAACATTGCTGTCTTTAGTTTGTGCATGTAAATTTATAAATATAATTTGAAAGTAAGCATACAATAATCCCATTTTCCTTTATAAAAAAAAGGATAATACTCATATTGTCCCAAAGAAAAAATATAAAATACACAGGACGTGGCACCACATTACAAACAAACCACAACTTGGCAAAATGTAGCCAGAGATAAAAAAAAATTTGGAACTTACTGCTTTGGGTCTTGTTCATAGTAAATGGACAACACCTGACTCTAGATGGCGCTGTTCATGTGCGCTTCTATACCAACAGTTTCAAAATTTTGCGGACAGCTAACAGAGAAAAACATTTTTATAAGAAGTTCTGCCCTCTTCTCAGGCATTTAAAAAAATATCTTGTTCGTAGTCATAGTCTAGCCAAATTGTGAGATAGAAACATCGGTCCAACTGTGAGACAGGGGAATCCTTCCAGCCTCGACTCCATGGGCGCGTGGGCGTTCATTCACTAACCCCTGGCCGTGATGAACACGTAAACGACCCTTACCGGCTATTCAGAGCGTATTGCGAGCATATTTTTAAGACTGCACGCCCTATATGTCTCCTGCACGTCACGCACAAACAGTTTTTCCAAGACTTCGCGATGCCTGAAAGGTATATGGATTCTGGAATCCTAATTTAAATGTCTCAAATAGTGGCAGATTTAAATTACACGATTCCAGGGGTTAAGATCGCGCAAGGCATGATGGGAACCAACATGGCGCAGCAAGATCATACCCATGGAAACAAGGTTGCAATCCTTCATAAAATGTGGAGCAACTTTCTGAAGTATTAAACTGTCTTCAAAATTCTTTGTTATTTTTCACCTATGGAACTTTCCACAGCTTGTAAGTATTTTGTGTCTTCACAGAATGTTAAGAATTTTGGGATTGTATTTCTTGATGTCACACATTTGCAAAATTTTTGTTCGTTATGCAGTCTCGTGTTTTTGTTTTTGTTTTTTTGTAGTGTGTCTTTCTTTTCTGCAACGAGTTGTAAATGATGCACTAAATGCAGGTTTTTTTCCCTTTCAAACCTGACTGATTGTTGAAAACTTTGTGCTTTTGAATTATTTGTGACTGCCATGTGCATATTGATTTGCATGCAAGCTTGAAGCACACTGGACTAAAAAAATTTCATCGTATTTGTTATTTTTATTTATTTGGCAATTAAATATATCACACTGGCATGATGTGTATGTACAATATTCGCTCTTTTCACACTTCCGCCAATGGCATGCAGAGCCTCGATCTGGCAATTTTACACAATAAATATAACCGGTTCAGTGATTCCCGTGTCGGGGTTCAGATCACTGAACCGGCTATTTTTATTGTGTAAAGCTGCCAGATAGAGGCTCTGCATGCCCCTTTTGGCGGAGCGTGAAAAGAGCGAATAGTTCTTGTTATAAAGTAAACATTATTGACCTTGTGCAAGGCAGCCATCTTAGGCCAAAAAAAAAAGTCTCTGGTTTCTGGTATGCGCGCGCGTCGCCGTAGCCATGCGCGTCGGCAAAATGAAAAAGTTTTTTTTTTCAATGAAAGATGATGTCTCAAAACCGCCAAACTCACTGGTTTGACTGGAATCCTGCTGCTGCACAATTTTAACGTGTTTTTAGATTGGGTTATGGTCGAGAATAAGCTTTATGTGGCCTCTCTGGACTCCCATATATTTGCACTAAGTCGGGCACCATTTGCAGTCATCAGCCGACATTTGAAGCAAAAAAAATCAGGTAAAAAAAAAAAAAAAGCCGCGTCGCCGCACCTTTTTTGGGCAAGCTCCATACCAGAAACCGGAGACTTTTTTGGGGGCCTGAGAGGGTGTCCTTTGTTGGTTCAATTGCAACGATTGCACAATATACTCGTGCCTATCCAAGCAGATATACTGCCTCTAAGATGGCCACTACGCACTAGGTCTATTAACATTTTAGTGGTAAGTAGTACAGCAGATTGATGATAAGATTGGTCAGTTTGATGATAAAGGCATGGAATTTAGCACACACTGAAGAGTATGTCGTGGGAAAGATATTTGGCTATAGGGCCATCGCAGATTTGTCCTTTAAAAAAAATATCATAGAATAACAAGCAATTTTCAAAATTTAAAAAATGGCAAACATTGCATGTTATTCTATGATATTTTTTCAAAGGACAAATCTGTGATGGCCCTATAGCCAAATATATTTTACATGACATACTTTGAGTGTGTGCCGAATACCATGCTTTTATCATCAAAATGAACAATTCCATCATATTGTGAACCAATCTGCCTGACGAAAACATAATTACTCATTTTGGGTATGCCTTTGGAGATTTTTATTTCAATGTTTGACTTTTCCCTCACGGTTTATAGCCACCAATGAATGCGCCTTGAACCCCTGTGCTAATGGAGGCACCTGCCGTGATCTACAGGCCAACTACGTCTGTGATTGTGTCTCGGGGTACACCGGCAGAAACTGCAATGAAAGTAAGTCCACTTGTGTAAGATTTTGGAGCATGCAAATGATCCAATACCAGGGTGAGAGAGCAGGTCATGGTGGGAGCGTACTGCTCCAACCATGCTCCATGGGAGGTTGGTGTGGGTCTGCTCCATAAAATTGGCCACAAAACTGTGGCTGGTGCATAGAGCTATATTAGGTTACTAGAGCGCTAACTCCTCATTCTTGCGCGCGAAGACGCTTTGAAGCCGTCCTGGGCGCAGACATTTTGAATTTATGTGCGTGTTTGTAGAACATAATCAAAATGGATGGATTGAATTTTAAAATGTGTACTCCAAATGCAATGCGCAAGTGGAAGATATGCCAACAACTTACAGCTTAAAAAACAACATGACGGTTAATCATCACCAGGGGATATACGCACACGCATTGCGTTGTTTGCTTAGAGCAAAATGACGCGCTCATTTGCTGATCGTTCGTTGCGGTTTTGGGCGTATCGGATTCGGTAACGCACCTGTATAGAATACAAACGCAGATATGCAAATAGCCGTACAAAACCCGTACAAAATTTCCAGTTTTGCATAGGTTTGTGCACAAACATGGATGCACCCATCAGGCATTACTTTGTACACTAGTCAGCGCTCTAGTAATTTAATATAGCTCTATGGTTTGGCATAACTCTAAAACACCAGCCTAAAACCAGTGCTGCAAGTGAATTTTTATAGACTCATGCTTTTTAGAGTGTACACCAGCGAATGATCATTCTTCTTCACTTTGTTTCTAGATATCAATGACTGTCTGACAATACTTTGTCTGAACGGAGGGGCGTGCATTGACGGCATCAACGACATAACCTGTAACTGCCGACCAGGGTTCACTGGGAGGTTATGTGAAACAAGTAAGCGACAAGACCTGAATAGGGTATCAATGGACATTCTGTAGAAACTGCACGAAACTGTTGGCTAACAGGTAGGGCTAAGGCCAAAAAAAAAAATAGTCGGTCTCTGGTCAGACCGAAGTTCCGGAATTGATGCGGCGACGCGGTGTTTTTTTTTTTGGTTTTTTTTTTTGCTTTTTAAATTTTTTTTTTTGCTTTTTTTTTTTTTCAAGCTTGAATTGTACAGAGAAGGTGGGTACTATTTTGCTTTTTGTGTCCTCATATACATTGGTGTCCTCCATAATTTGCCTTGGTGCCCTCCATTATTTGCCTTGACGCAATTTCCCCATTCCTCGGTGCTCCTTGGTACAAACATTTGAGGAGGTGCGGCAATAGAGGGCGCTGTTGTAGCTTCCGTGGTAAATTTGAAGGAAAAAAAAGTTGACACGCATGATTAAAATCGACGCGCGCGCTGACCAGAGACCGACTATTTTTTTGGGGCCTAACCAGGAGCAAGTTGCAGTCCAGCACCGTTGGCTGACTGGTGGTTGAATCGTAACTCAGCACATACATCAGACGATACATCAGGAAAACTCAATTGCTTGTCGAGGGATGACTATTACCATCCTTGCGTTTCTACGAGTGACTTATAGCTAGACCCTCTCAAAAAATGTCGAGGAAATTTAAAGTCCATGAAGTTATGAAACATTGGCCAATTTTTATGACAAAAATTGCCGAATTTGGTAGGATCCTGTAGAGGTTAAGATGCATTCATCGCAAACGGGGAGCCCAATTATTATGTAAGAGTAGGGCTGAGTCAATTCATTTGATTAAATATTCAAATATTCGATTATACCAGAAGGCATATTTTTAATCTGATTTTCAGTTTAAAATACCGTCATGAAGGTTTCATCATTATTTTTTTCAACACAGTTTACACCAATATATCTTTACAAGGAATGTTAACTTTGCACATTCATGACTCTTATTTGTCAAAAAATCTATGTCCATATTTTCGGATGGATTCAATATTTAATCGTTGAGCACATAAGGTACTTTTAAGTGTCTGGCAACAACTCAAAATAAGCTTTCAGAATGCTATTTTGTTATTCAAAAAATTGACTTCTCCCCCATTTGTTTCATTGCATTACACATCCGAATATTCAAATCGAAAAAATAAATACTTGAATATTCGATAATCGCTTAAATCTTTGAATATGCGGCACAGCCGTGTATAACGGCCGAGAAATCATTCACAGGTTTTTCATTCTTATGCTATTATTTTGAAATTGCACAGATGTTAATGAGTGCAGCAGTTTCCCATGCGTCAACGGCGGCATTTGCACCGATCATGTCAACCGCTACACGTGCAGCTGTATAGGCAAATGGACTGGCGTCAACTGCGAGACGAGTAAGTATGTCATAAATGCATTAATGAGCGTGCAGATCATGTCGGCCTTCACAACCATAAATGTTGTGTCATTTTGAAAGAAGGACGTGGAAAAAATTCGTTCCAAATTCAAGATCCACTAAATGGGGACTTGGTGAAATGTTGAATGATTGTGCACTATTAGTCTTCAGGACTTACGTAACCGGTTCGAAAGTACATTTTTAAGGTTAATTCCTTTTAAAACCTGAGAGTAATTAAATTTCTTAGTTTAAAACATTTACTCAAAGTCAACATATAATCTTTCTCTTCAGTTGCATGTTTCTTTCATTGTAGCTGTACCTTGAAAATCCTTTGGCCTTGCATGAGGCTGGTAAATTTGAGAAAGAGAAAAAATGGGGTAGTGCAGTCCTTCATTTTTAAGGAGCGCGATCGCGCAGGCGCTCCTACTGCGCTCCTCGACTGTCTCGAAGGAGCGCTAAAAATAGCGCTCCTCAGAAATCCAAAAGAGGGCTCGTCAAACACGGGAAGTTTAAAAATAAGAAGTGATAAAAACGCAAAGGATTTTAAGTCTTAAGCTACACGTATTTTTCGTTGGTATAATGCCCAAACTCACGTTAATATGCCGCTGGACATCGCTAAAAATGAACGAACACCGAGCTCGTACGTACTGTATAAGATCGTGTGTGTACAGCGGTTGTATACTGTGCGTGCACAATCTGCATATCGCGTAGAGCTGCATGAAAACACGTGGGCCCGTACGTGCAAGTGCAGCAATGACTGGTTCCCGCTGCGCCGCGCACTAAGTCCCAATGAAGGCATGATGAAAATGCGGTAACCAGTCAATGTAATAGTCCTGCGCGGTGCAATGCACTGCCTGCCGTACAGTGTTTTGCGTGCAGGCTGGACGGAATAGACGTCGTAAAAATGCCAAGAAAACAACGATTGAGAAGGACGATCTTTGCAAGCTTATTCACAAAACTTGATCTCTCTTGTCTGTGTATGTATTTCCCGTGTTCATGAATTTATTTTGAGGAAGTTTTACTGGTATGTGAAGTGAAACGATGCAGCGTGTTTCACCGAAATCCTATACCGTGAAACGAGTCTCATTGCCGGCCCACCACACACAGTGCATCACAAACGCTCGTACTAGTGCGAAGTTCAGATGTTGTTAGCCAGTTTCTCGTCGTGACTAGCATTGTGTATATGGCATACTTGACCTGCATTTTCCGTTATTTTTAAGATTATCGACGGCAGATATTTTCGATAAAACTTAAGGCAAGTTTGTGTCATTTTGAGGCCCTTTTTGTGAAGCTTTCGTAGAGCAATTGAAATAGTTCAGGCTGAAAATTTCATATAATTTTAACGAATCTGAAAGCAATTTTTCAGTTGCTTTATGTGCCGTTTATTAACTCTCCATTTTCCAAGTATAATCAAGTGATGAACCAACTGACACCTGTATTAAAAAATGGAAGCCTGAGCAGTAGTCAAACCTTTTATTAATCTCCATTTAGTTAGTTTTTTTAAATAAATTTTACCTTGTCTTAGTTACAAAAACGAAAAAAGTAACGCAACTTGAGCATATGTTATTATGCAAAAACTAATAATAATGCAGCCCCTTGAATAAATCCTTATATTCAAAATAAAACAAAAACAATGGTAACCCGTCGTTTTACCGCTGTTTATCCGTAGATTTTAAGGAGAGCGATTTGCTCTCCTCGAATATTTGAGGAGAGCGATTTATAGCTCTCCTGGATTTTCTTTAAATGAAGGACTGGTAGTGCCAGTTTCTTTTTAACAGTGACATCATGCCTGTTCATAACTGATTTTTGTTCACAATGTACTTACTGTGTTTGTCATTCTATAATTACTTGTAGGTCTGAATGAGTGTATGAGCAACCCATGTTCCAATGGTGTGTGTATTGACTTGGAGGACTCATTCAGCTGCTCTTGCACATCTGGCTGGACAGGGGCTCTCTGTAGCGAGGGTAAGTCTACGCTCCTTTCCCTCCCCATCACTCCCACCACATCACTCCCACCCCAATCAGTCCCACCCCATCCCTTTCACCCCATCACCCCCACCCGTATCAACCCCACCCGCATCAACCCACCCCATGCCCCCGATCTACCCCATCACCCCCACCCACACCCCATCACCCCCACCCACATCACCCCACCCCAATCAGTCCCACCCGCATCAACCCCGACCCCTACCCCATCACCCCCTCCCCCATCACTTCCACCCCAATCAACTCCACCCCAATCACCCCACCTCAATCACCCCTACCCCTGGGGCTGCTCCTTGTCTCTCATTGTCTCTGTTGCTTGGCAGATTGATGTGATAAGCAATCATCAGCTTGAGAAAAATGCTGCCCAATATCTGGCTGGTGAAAGTTCAAAAGAAGTTTCTTGAGCTGCAGCTTTCACTCTCCCACATTCAGAGATGCCACTTTTCCGGTTTAAACCGGAATTCTGGGTTGTTGTCTTTTAAATCTCACAAAATTCTGTTTTTTCTGGCCGTCAAAAAAAAAACTGGGAAAAAAGAGAAGAAAAGTGTGGAAATGCATTGATTTTTACCTCGTTTTTAAAAGCGCTCTGGCACAACGTTGTTCGTTGAAGTAGTCTTAAAGACAAGTCTTTGTTGTTTCCGAGCCTGCATGCGATACAGACGGCTGACGTACATGTACATACTTGCACACAGTATACAACGGCGCCTCGCGTGCTGCATGCACCGCGTGTGTGTTGCGTGTTGTGTGCTAAGCACAGTAGCATTCAGCCTGAAAATCAATCCTATCATTTCAGTTATCGGTGGTTCCCGATCGCAGTGACATATGTTAACACATAAAACGCCAAGTACTAACCATGTTTTCGTCGCGCGCATCGCGTAGTGCAAAGATCATGTACGCCGACAGTGTTAAGGAATTATGCATGTTTCCGATGTTTCATGTCGAATATTTCATTGGAAATTCGGGTGGGCAGAAAAAATAATATGAATATGGAAAAATCAAAGTGATTGAACGAGCCGACAGCTTAAAGGCCAGAGAAGCAAAAAATGCATGTTTCCGATGTTTCATGTCGAATATTTCATTGGAAATTCGGGTGGGCAGAAAAAATAATATGAATATAAAAAAATCAAAGTGATTGAACGAGCCGACAGCTTAAAGGCCAGAAAAGCAAAAAAATAAACAGAACTTGGCTTGGCTACAAGGGAAAGATGACAATGGGCACTTAGTGGCATTTTTACAAAGAAATTAAAGTTTCCGTTTTTTTCTTTTCAAATAGCCGTTCCGTTTTTTTTCAAGCAGACACAGTTCCAGTTTTTTTTCAAGCAGACCCTGTGGCATCTCTGCACTTTTCACTGCCTTCAGTTCTACATAAACCACCCTTCACCATTGGAGTCCCTCCGTCTCCTGACGACGGGCAGAGCATACTGTCAGAAACATTGGGTTCTTACTGGTTCTTTTCAGAACCACACAAACTAAAGACAGATTTCATGTCACATGGTGCATCCCCAAGCTTATACCCTTATCTTACAATCTTGTTTTTTGGCGGGTATGTTTTCCATTTGCAGATTTCAACGAGTGTGACAGCAATCCTTGTCTGAACCTTGGCAATTGCATCAATCAGATGAACTCCTTCTCCTGCCAGTGTGCTGCCGGCTGGACCGGAAGGACCTGTGATGGCAGTGAGTATCATTAGACATACCAATCAATATCTCTGTAGAGCTCTCAAACTCCCAGGGAATTGAGTTGTAGTTAGCCATTTGTTCAAAATGCAACTTGGCTTTCCAAAACAAAAATTGATAGTTAACAGTAATCCGATCTCCCTGGATTTTTTTGGCCAAAGTGCCGACCTCAAACTTTTTATTGCCACATTTGGCCAAACGTTTAAGATTTAAGTATATTTTGAAAATAAAAAGTCTTGCAAAGGCCAAAAAAAAAAGTCTCCGGTTTCTGGTATGGAGCTTGCCCAAAAAGTGGTGCGGCGACGCGGCTTTTTTTTTTTTTTTTTTACCTGTTTTTTTTTTGGGGGGGGGGGCTTCAAATGTCGGCTGATGACTGCAAATGGTGCCCGACTAAACTTAGTGCAAATATATGGGAGTCCTGAGAGGCCACATAAAGCTTATTCTCGATCATAACCCCATCTAAAAACACGTTAAAATTGTGCAGCAGCAGGATTCCAGTCAAACCAGTGAGTTTGGCGGTTTTGAGACATCATCTTGTATTGAAAAAAAAACTTTTTCATTTTGCCGACACGCATGGCTACGGCGACGCGCGCGCATACCAGAAACCGGAGACTTTTTTTTTTTGGCCAAATGCAAGGTTTTTTAAATTGGTTAATTCAACAATTAGACAGGTTAATGAAATAAAATAGTATTAATGCTATTACATGTAAAGTAAACAAAACAGCATAAAATACTGACGGACAAGCATAAAAAAAATAACAAAATAACATTTACCTACCTACCTGGATAACTTTTAGGGTGTTACCGTAAACACACAATTGTTTTTCTCGGCCTAACTAAGGAATTGACCAAGCCTTCTTAAGGATTTGTAAAGGCATGTCTTAATTTTTCTTGTCTTCTCCTGCAGATATTGATGAGTGTGTCAGCACTCCGTGTCGGAACGGAGGAACCTGCGTTGATCGGGTCAATAGTTACTCATGTGACTGTGATGCAGCCTGGACTGGCGCGAGGTGCGAAATCGGTAAGTCCAAGAAATTTCCCATCAGTACAGAGGCTTATTGATTATCAATTAATTATTATTCACTCTTTCAGTGCCCGCAAAATTTGAAAAGTTTAACCCTAAAGTGCCCAACTTCGAGCGTTTTTGTTAATTGTTCAAAATTCTGTTAAAAAAAAAGTAAATACGTTTACTCACTAAATTTGTTGTTGCTCTCTGGTATATCCTTGGTATATTGAAAAGTCAATAGACATCACATACATAGTGATACACCCTGAAACACTGTCCTGCACAAAGGGGAATTCCGCACTTTTTGCAGAAAATACAAGTTTTAGTGCGGTGCCCTCTCGCAAGAACTCGAATTAAAAAATAAATATAGGTCGTACATGCATGAAAATGGCACCATTAGAAAGAGCGAGAGCGCCCCCTTTTGATAACATGCTTACTCTACCTCGTACATGTACGAGGTTTGGCAATTTTAATCACGAACATTACCTCGTACATGTACGAGGTTGGCGCTTTCGCACTAAAAAATATACCACGTACATGCACTGAAAGAGTTAACGACTTGTGTATAACTTGTGATTGACTTTTGGGATTGACATTTGGGACACCAAACTTGCTGGACTGAACTCACCTCAAAAAGCCTACAAGTTGCATTTCAGGAGGGGACAAGAATTTGCAAACTTCACTTTCATATATTTTCAAGTTATGATAATCTTCCTTTTTGCTTGTACCTAGGTGTTGATGAATGTGCAAGCAACCCTTGCCTGAATGGAGCTACATGCCAGGACGGGATTGGCCGGTACTCATGCCTCTGCCTTCAAGGCTTCATGGGAACCATTTGTCAAATCAGTAAGAAGAAAAAAACAGCAGTTTTGAATCTGTTTCATACTCAGTGCGAAGCGAACGCAAATGCAAATTTGTGACGTCATGGCAACTTTTTCACGCTGTGAATTTGCAAAAGTTGAACACGTTTCAACTACGGCAAATTTTGCAGTGATTGCTTTGTGACGTCAAATTTGCATTGCATTTGCATAAAGTATGACCGACATTAACTTGAGGTTGATTCCTGAGGTAGCGTGTAAAACCTTGAGAATGGCTTGAGTTACTGCATGCTTTATTTCCCATTCTCCGCTTATCCGATTTTGTGGGAATTCCCCAGAATATTTATCTCCATCATGAAGAAGATTTTAAAAGAAAAACAAGTGATAAGACGAGGTTGAACTCTGAGGTAACCTGTAAAACCCTGTTCAACATTGTGTAAAACCCTGTATAACCGCGAGGTAAACCTTGTGTAAAACCCTTTATAACCGCGAGGTAAACCTCTAGTTACCGTCTGTTAAATTTCTCATTCTCTCTTATCATTTTCTCTTTTCCAGTGGTCTTTTAAGGACAGGAATGATAATTTCCTATTTTAAAAGGATTTCCTATTTTTTCCCCTTAATTTCCTTTTTCCTCCAGTTTCAGCATTCTGTATTGTACACATTACACTTTTTCCTGACTAATTCTCTCTCTGTCTCTGTAACCATTGAAGGAGGGGAAGGGCGTGTTGGGCCAAAAACCTTTTTAAAATGTACATGTTGAAAAATGGTGTGGTTATCTTTTGATTCCTCCATTTCTGCAGATATTGATGAGTGTCGTAGCAACCCTTGCTTCAATGGCGACTGTACGGATCTAGACAATGGTTACAACTGCACATGTAGACCGGGCTGGACTGGTACCCAGTGTAGTATAGGTGAGTCACTCATTAGAAACTGTGAGGTACAGATATTCAGTGATTTAGAGGTACATGTACCTGTCTGGGTGTTGTAGGACTCGAGTCCAGGACTCGGACCTGAGTCGGACTCGAGTCACATTGAAAAATGACTCGGACTCGGACTTGACCATGATGATTTGGACTTGAGTTTGGTGACTCGTGACTTGAGTCACATATTTTTATAAAAAGAAAAAACATAACGTTGCGTATTTGTGCCACGAAGCATAGCATTCTGTTTTACTCCAAAGACAAAACATGGCGCCCCACAAAATAGTATCCATAGTGCCTGCACGACGATTTCTTTCTGACTAAAAGTAGATTTTGCAGTTACGGCGGAGAATCGGACAGTGAAGATGCATTGGTAATTTTCGGAAAGCAAATTTTCACGCAGACGGTCCTATTCAGGCTCATTATGGAGAACAATTGTCCGACATGTTCAAAGTGTGGATTCGCAATTCCGAATCCACACTTTACTAAAGATTCGTCGTTCCGAATCCACACTTTGTGACCAGTATAAGAGATTCATAGATCCGAATTCACACTTTTAACAATAGTGTGACGTCATAGCAATGGATTAAGTAAAAATAATTAATCATTAAACATCTTGTTTTCCCCATAGATATTAACGAGTGCGCCCCTGTCAACCCGTGCCAGAATAACGGCTTGTGTGTCAACCAAGAGGCAACGTTCATCTGCCATTGTCAGCCTGGCTGGACGGGACAGCTGTGCGACATAGGTGGGTGACATCATGACCTGTGTGTGACCTCATGACATTTTGGTGACCTCTTGACTTTTTAGTGACCTCTTGATCTGCATGTGACCTCTTGATCTTCTTGTTGCCATTTTCTTGTACGTGACCTCTTGCTTGTAAACCGGTTGACCTGTGTTTGACCTCTTGTGTGTGACCTCTTGAGCTCTGTGTGACCTTTCGACCCGTTTGCAACCTCTGGACCTGTTTCCAACCTCTGGACCTGTTTGCGACTTCTTGACTTGTTTGTGACCCGTTTGCCACCTTGACTTGACCTGTTGGTGACCTCTTGACCTTCTGTGACCTCGTCACCTGTGTTTGGCCTCTTTGTTCATGATTTAGCTGTTTCGTGCACTTTTCTTGTTGAAACCGTTCTGTTGCCTTCTACCCTGGTGGTGCCTAGGGGTCAAAGGATTGTTGGGGAGAGGTCATTCCCTATCTGTATCCGTAGACTGTGGAATGACTTCCCATCAACCATCAGATCGGCTCCTAACCCACACAAATCCAAACATCCCTTGAAAACCCATCTATTTGGATCATTTTTCTTTAAACATTCACTGTTTTTTTGCATTTTGATATTTTTTCATTTGTTTTGTTTCATTCTTTTTCTTTTTTGGGGCAAAATACAATGATCATTTGGAACACGATCAAGCTAAATGAGTCATTTGTCGACCCTGGTCAATTTTTTTTTTTTTTAAGATTTGACAAGAGCGCAATCTCTGCATTACTGATGTGAAAACCGCATGCTGATACCATCTTTAGTTCAACAATTATGGAAGTCGGAACACCAAAAGATGTGATGAAGTGGCCCTATTTTGGCCTGTATCTCCAAATGAAAGTTCCCAACAAATGACTCATTTAGCTTGTTCGCATCACATTGTATGAAATTGCGCTTTATAAGTGCTAATATTTTTCATTATTGTTATTATCATAAAAAGGTCGTGAATTTTTATCAATTTAATGTCAAGTCTCGAAGATTTCTTGTAATCTTCTTCTTCTTGTGTCAAACCCTCTTCAAGATGTGGATGAGTGTTCCAACGCTCCTTGCTTGAACCAAGGAGTGTGTGTGAATCTTCTGAACTCCTTCCGTTGTGACTGCCCAGCAGGCTTCATTGGCTTCACTTGCGAAACCAGTAAGTAATCGTCATTCTACAAGCATTAGAGCAATTATAGCTTTGTCACTTACTGACATAATTCACTTCACCCTGTGAGGAAATTACAATAGTCATTGTTTATTGTAGCTGCGGCCGATTTCACGATACTTAAACACTAGTCCACTTGTTTCACAATTTATTGTGCAAGATCGCGTAACGTTTCATGCTGTGCAACATTTTCAGTTACGACAATTACACGAAAGTTTCACGTAATTAAGTCAGCAACTTGCGCAACATATTATGGTGTTACTTGCACAATCAATAGGTGACGTAAGTTGTGGCCTAGTAACTGAAAATGGCCTAGTTTACCAGCAAATCGTGATCGTCGTGGAGCCTGTCATTGCACAACTTTCATATAAAGGTTGATGCAGGACACTCACAACTTTGCGTTTGAAGTAAAAGAATTGCTATTTTACTTCTGACAAAGGTTTCAGAGTTGTAGCAAGATTCGGAATATAGTCGGACAAAATTATTTTCAAATGGTGGGTGGAGGTGATTTAATGACTGTTTCATAAATGAACAAAATCATACACAAATAGCCATCGTAAATGCTGTCCAAGATTTTTAGATTTATTAAAACGTTGCACGGCTACGCCTAGAGTTTTGCAGGGTTGTTTATCATTCTTATACTACTGAAGGGAATGCATTCTTTGTTTGACTTAACAGTTGTTTTGAGTTATCAGAGTTTGACTCATTGAGATTTCACTGTACCTAAACAGCATTCTCAATGGAAGGAGAACGATTAAAAATGTGATGAATTAGTAGTTTTGAGAAAATCACGCTTACTTGACTTTTTTGTGCCACAAAACACCAAAGATTACAATTTAGTAAGAGACTTGCAATAATATCTTAAGCCCAAACCTTTCTTTTTCTGTGATGACATCACAGCCATGCTCATGAATATGCAAATTTTTAAATACAAGTTTATGTCTACAAATTTTCATTTGACTTTTGTTTTTGTTTTTGTGCAGACATCAATGATTGTGCCTCCATTCCATGTCTGAACCGCGGACTCTGTATTGACGGCATACTGAGCTATACCTGTCAGTGTTTGGCTGGCTATGCTGGTGAACGCTGCCAAACTAGTAAGTTGCCATTTACCCATGATAGATGCATGTTTCTGAAAGTGGGTGTGTTTTTTTTATATGTGGGGCAGCTAATGCAAACTGCCCATTGACTGGAATAAATGAAAATGTACAAAGTGAAAGAAATTTTAGGGCCTCAAATTTTGATCCCATCTTGTTGTCTTTGAGTGATGTTCTACTAAAAATTGTAGTCCCTAGAGATCAAAAGATACATTTTAAGTGCTTTTCATTGCAGAAGAACTTGTGTCCATATGCACGTGTTGTTTGTTGGTCTCTCTTAGTTTCTTTACACAAATTTTGACACAGGAAATCCAAAAGTAAGGGGCAAAATTAGTTATTTTCATATTTTTAGGGAAGGAGGAGCTAATCTTGATCCTAGTGTGCTCCATCTGCTATTACAGTTGTTTAAGTTGCATAAAGAAATTGCCTGGAGCAGGGTTTCAGCCTGCGACCTCCAGATTGCCGTTCCAGTGCTCTACCAACTGAGCTATCAAGCCCTATGTTGGCGGTTCCCCATTTTGTCATTGTCTTTGTTCAAGGGGCGCTAGTCAGAAGCCATAAATGGCTTGGGTGGCTTGTGCGTAAAGCGCTCGCCTGTCACCAAGGTGACCACGGTTCGAATCCTGGCCGCGGATCGCATGTGAGTCGAGTTTTGCGTTGTTTCTCTCCTGAGGGTTTTTTTCTGGGCCCTTCGGTTTTCCTCCCTCCGGAAAAATCAAACACTTTCGATATCAAGCTGTGCTCCGTGGTGATATATGGGTCGATGTGGCCGGCAGCCATAGGCGCCTTTACGTGCAAGCGGCCCGACCACGTTGTAGCCGCGTCCTTCGCAGCTGCGAGTAAGGATGATTAGCCTCCCAAATTATAAATCTGTATAGGCCTTGATTAGATAACTTGAGGCAAACCTGGCAAATAGCAAATGGGGATCGCTACGAGAGAATACAGATTTTTGTTTCAAATTTGCAAATAAACCACAAAAGGAAAATTGACTAGGTGCAGTATATTCACTTTTGAAAATAACCGCTTAGCAAATTTTCAGCATCTCTAACTCCTCGGTTTGTTTGTTTCAGATGTTGATGAATGCCTGAGCAACCCTTGTCAGAACAACGCTCTGTGCTTGGACGTCATCAATGGGTACACCTGCGAATGTGTCAGAGGCTTCACTGGAATCCACTGCCAGACCAGTGAGTTTGGATTGGTCGTTATTTATTTCACAATATGTCCTACATTTGGAACTGTAAGAACTTACATTTGGAACTCTAATGACCCAAAGTACAGTGAAAGGCCGCTATAATGAACATTTGGTTATAACGAACATCCAGACAGGCTCCCGAATCACTATAACGAACAACCACTATAGCGAACACTTTCTGTGGACCCCATCGTGCTTGTTATAGCAGGGCTTCACTGTATACCCTTTTTTCAAGTTGTTCAAAAAGTATAGATTTTGTTTCATTTGACAGTATTTCAGATAATCAGGATTATTTGTCTATGCTTTTTGTGGTGTGACAACCGTAAAAAAAAAAAAACAATCTTGGAATGTAGTACAAAACAAAAACAGTATTTTTGGAAAGACAGATAAAGTGTAGAGTTTATTCATTGGAAAATACTTATTTCTTCCCTACTTCATAAGGAAAGCGACATCCATTTAAGGGAATCCTCAGCAGAGCACGGATATAAAAGCTTTATAAAGTGGATTTCATGTTGCTGTTATATGTTCTAATTGTACCTTGCAGATATTGATGATTGTCGGAACACCAATCCTTGTCTGAACGGTGGCTCTTGCAACGACGGCATCAATAGCTATACCTGCCAATGTCTACCAGGATGGAGTGGGGGCAACTGCCAATTCCGTACGCCTATTCTTCTTTTATTTCAATTGGGCCATCATCGTATTCTAGCCCTGAGTATTACACCATAGGGCTGTGCATCGTAGCCGGGTCCCCCAGTACCCGACTGCTGATGTCAGGAACCCAGTTCCAGATTGTGGTGTGAGAAAAAAGTCCAAGTATTTGCAAAGATTTTGAGCCAGCACAGCCTTGCCTCAAAAGCTTGATTCCTACTATACCACTCGATAGTGTACTATACTACTTGTTATTGCTTTGGAAAAGCACTGGACTATGGTTTTGGACTCATGGCCTACACTTTTAGTATGTTGACCAGTGAGGGTTTGAGAATTATACATCATGAATATGTATGAGGTGTAGCAAATGTCTGCCAGTCAGCCCCTTTGGCATTCATACATCATGAATATGTATGAGGTGTAGCAAATGGCTGCCAGTCAGCCCCCTTTGACGTTCATACATCATGAATATGTATGAGGTGTAGCAAATGGCTGCCAGTCAGCCCCTTTTATTTGACGTTCATACATTATGAATATGTATGAGTTGTAGGAAATGTCTGCCAGTCACCCCCTTTGGCATTTATACATCATGAATATGTATGAGGTGTAGTAAATGTCTGCCAGTCAGCCCCCTTTGACGTTCATACATCATGAATATGTATGAAATGTAGCAAATGTCTGCCAGTCAGCTCCCATTGACGTTCATACATCATGAATATGTATGAGGTGTAGTAAATGTCTGCCAGTCAGCCTCCTTTGACGTTCATACATCATGAATATGTATGAGGTGTAGCAAATGTCGGCCAGTCAGCCCCCTTTGACGTTCATACATCATGAATATATGCATGAGAGGTGTGTCTATTTTCCTCCAAGCAACCCGAAGAACGTTTCTTAATTTGATTCTCCCATTTTCTGTATCGCAGGTGCTCAGTGTGTGGCCAACTACACCATTCCCGCCGGCGGTAGCGCTAACATTGCTTCACCAGAATTCCCCTCCAACTATCGCAGCAACGAGGAGTGTCGCTGGTTCATCTTCGCCCAGCCCGGCAAGCACATCCTGGTGCAGTTTGACGACTTTGCCACGGAGTCGCAGTATGACTACGTCAGCGTGGGTAACGGCGTGGACCCCAGCGATTTGGGCTCGCAAGTTGTCCACTACGCTGGTATGAATCTACCGCCCGCCTTCCTGGCGACCGGTAGCGTGGTGTGGGCGACGTTCATCACTGACCACTCCAAGACTGAGAAGGGATTCAGTATCACCTTCATGGAGCGAGACAATGCTGGTGGGTAGCTTTCCAGTCTAGATGAGTCCACAATCAAGGGCGGATCTAGGGGGGGGGGGCCAAAGGGGGCCATGGCCCCCCAAAAAAAACGAAACCAATTGTTTGGTTTTTTTATGTGACGTCGCAATAAAGGCAGGCAATGAGTACACCACCATCTTTTCCTCAAAAAACATTGGCTAAAGTGGTCAGAAATTGCCTCAGATCGCACCACAGAGCATCGAGAATCCAAAAAAAAATTTGACCCACTTTTTGGGAGACACAAAAAATTTTTGGCCCCCCCAAAAATTGTGTTCTGGATCCGCCCTTGTCCACAATGAAAGGCCATTGCTTTTTAACTTGCCTGTCATGCATACACTGAGTGTAATAAATGCTTGGAAACTGTGTAACAAAATCAGGACTACAGACAATTCCGCTGAATAAAGGTGGAAGTCTTGACTGAAGTGATACCAAGCGTGCATGTCCACGGATCACACAAAAGGTGTGTGTTCTTTCAGCAAAACGAAAACAATTCACACACATCCTTATGTGATTTGTTTTTGTGTTGCTGAGAGAACACTGCACTTTTTTGTGATCCGTGGACAGAATCTTAAAACGGCGGCTGTGTTTAAAACACCCTTACTTGAAAAGTACATGAGTGATTTGAATGATTTTTGTACTAATCGAAAGCTTATGAATTGGGCTTTCATATCCTAGATATTGAAAGTGCTACATGCAGAACTTCACTACAAAAATGGTCCCGACATTTGGGTTTCATTTATTTTACTCACCCTGTATATACATATTTATGTTGACTGTTCTACAGATCTCGACAATGAATGTCTGAGCAACCCTTGCTTGAACGGAGCTACGTGCGTCAACAGTGTCGGCAAGTACGTCTGCATGTGCCACCGTTACTTCACCGGAACCAACTGTGAAACGGAACTGGGTAAGTGCGGACAAGTTGATCAAGTTAACTTCAGATCCTTTTACTATAATAGAATAACATTTTCTGTCCAATAAATTAGTTTCTGCAAGTTTGTGTTCTGTCACACTATCAAAAAGATGAATGTAAATCTTCCTTTTCAGGGGTTTTATGGTATTGAAGACCAACATGACATTGACATTTTGGAAGACTGCTGACATATAGGCGTTCAATTTCAAACAGATCTTGTTCACACAGATTTTTTTTTTTTTATTCATGTGCCCTACATTAAAGGCTGAAAAATCCTTTTTTGAGTAATGCCCTATTAATTTTTTTTTCTTCAGAAGTCAGGCCTACAGTGTTATAAAGGACCTTCTTCTATTAAGGTTAAACAAATTTGATTTTATTTGTATTACTCATTCATAAATACCTAAGACAGTTTACCCATTCCTATTGGTCGAGAGCCCGTCACGTGGCGGGTCTTAAACGGATGATAGAAACATGGCTAGCTGGTCTTAAACACTTTTCCAGTGTCAGCTGAAATTTGGACTCCCATGACATCCGATGCCTTTTGACGTTTCATTGGTTGAATGTTCACATTCCTCACGTATGCATGCGCAATACTACCAGTGAGTCAGTATTTCGTAGTGCAAAATTCACACTTCACCAGCCCAGCTGCGTTTTGCGCGACATCGCGCAGTGCGCGCGATGTGCACGCCAATCTCCTTATAAGGTAATGAGTTGTTGAGGGGCATTCCATATTATAATCAGAGGGGTGTGTCGTAAATTGTTAAACGAAATGGTTGGCAGCGTCTGGTTTTTGACTTGTTTTGATGTTGGACTGAAAAGATTTGTTTGTTTTTTTTTACCGAAAAGGTATTTATGAATGGTAATATTAAATATGTGTTTGGTTGGTATTAAACACTCTGTTTAAGACCGGTGGGAGTCTGGACGGGTAATTATCACCCATCCAGACTCACACCGGTCTTAAACAGAGTGTTTAATACCGACCGAACACACATTTTGTCGCGTCAGTGCAACAAGGTCGTATCTCCTAAAATGGCATGAACGACGCAAAACGCAAGTTTTAGAAAGTCAAAAGGTGGTATCTCGCTTCAAATAACCTGGATGTACACGCAAAGTCAATGGACGTCGAGATACGACCTTGTTGCATGGAGCGTATTCGCGCGAGATACGACTTTGTTGAAGAATGGAGTTATGAACGCAAAACGCAAGTTTTAGAATGTCAAAAGGTCGTATCTCGCTTAAAATAACCTGGATGTACACACAAAGTCAATGGACGTCAAGATACGACCTTGTTGCACGGAGCATATTTGCACGAGATACGACTTTGTTGCAGAATGGAGTTACGACCTTGTTGCACTGACGCGACGATTTATTCTGTTATTAATATGATAGCATCTCACATGGAAATATTCTTCGGTAATTTAAGCTCTTGTAGTAAAGCATTTTGTCTACATTGATCCTTTTTACTTGATAGCGGAGAATGTATGCTCAGGGACCCCTTGCCCGGTCGGTGCTACCTGTGTGCCTACCAATGACACCTATGTCTGCAACTGCCTGGCAGAAACAGTCGACAACAGATGCTTGAAAGGTAGGAAATTCATCAACTGATGCTGTTTTGTGAATGTAGACCCCCAAAAACGTGATTTATGCGTAAGCTTTTACACTTTTATAAGAATTTGCGTTGGGGTGCTGTAAATTCAATATTTCGTCCAATGAATCTAATAATAAATATCCCCTCATGAAGAGCTAACAATAAATATCTCCGTTTGCTGTTTCTTCAAAGCAAGCATCTGAAAAGTCAGAAAACAGTAGTTAAAATTGTGTTTTGAACTGTTGGAATGTGAAATCAGAACTGTATTAGATATTTTGAAATCAGAGAAGTATTTGAAACACAGCATTTTGACTGTGAAGACCACTTGTTTACTTGTTCGAGTGTGGCGGTTACAAAGTTAAACTTCAGTGGAACAAAGAGAAGATTGAATCAAAGATTGAATAGAGTTTTTGCGTAACTAGTCTTTGTGTCTATCCCTGTACTGCCTCGACCTGCCCAAGCACTGCTATGAAATGCAGTGTAATTAATGTTTAAAAATGTAATACAATGGCATAGGCGTAGACAGCTGGGGGGGGGGGGTATTTTTAAAAAAACACCTTAATATTTTGTAAAGAATGCCCTTTTTTTAAAGAAGTGCCCTTTTTTCTGAACAAGTGCCCTTTTACAAAAGAAGTGGTGCCCTTTTTTGTGCCATCGGCCGTTCTGGGTGCCTTTTTGTGAATTTCACGCATGTATCGCCCTGCAAAGCACCATATATTATCCGTCAGTGTGCATAATCGTCGATTTTGCACAGCGCCCCCATTGACAGATGGTACCTGGAGGCCACGTGTCCGGAGACCAAAAAAAATGTGTCTTCATTTCACCACAGATGTGCAAGTGCCCTTTTCAAGAAATTTTTAACCCCCCCCCAATAAAAATGACCTTGCTACGCCACTGAACAGAATGTTACACAATTATATACAATGTATACATTTATCTGTCTACAGTAATCACACCAAGAACCCCATGCGACAATACACCGTGTGCGCAGGGTGCAACCTGTCAAGATACTACTGATGGTACTGACTACATATGCAATTGCACCTCTGGATGGACCGGACGAAACTGCAATATGGGTAAGTTGAAAATATCCCTTTAATGATTTCTTCAAGGGGGTAGGAAAAAAATCCTTTCTTTCTTTCCTTCTTTTCCGCCTGGCGTCGTTACCCCATCCTTTGCAGTTGACCAGTGAAGAGGTTTTGACCTTGTTTCTGGAATTAGGCAGAGGACTGCCAGTTTTCTCTCCTTTCCCTTTTCTCATCTGTCCTATCATTTCTTTGCTGTCTATTAAGCTTTCCTGAAGTCCTACATGTTTATGTTTTCTTCTTTTGTAGCCCTTTACCTTGAGTGGCTTTTAGCCTTGTTTAGGGCGAATTTGCATTAAAAAAAAAAAAAAAAAAAGTGCAGAAAATATACAATAATTATGTATTTATACAGTTTCAATATAATAACAGTTGTAACAGTAATGTGGTGCTTATGTAGTGCTTCATACCAAACATCGCAAAGCGCTTCACAATTATTACCCCTGATCAACGGGCCACTGTCTCATTGCAACAGCTTAAGATCAGCGCAATCTGGTCTCTACCTTCACAGGTACCCTTTCATACTCCTGGGTGGAGAGAGGCAATTGTAGTAAAGTGTCTTGCCCAAGAACACAAGTACCGTGTTCCTTATTATGTTCCAAATCCATGAACCATTTATGCGGGCAACATAACCATTTGTATACCATTGCCCATTCACTGGGCAAATTCTTGCATGCGAATGTATTGAAGTAAACAGTTTTTTCTTAAAGCCTCTTCCTTTTTTTTGGTCATAGATTTTGATGAATGTTCCAGCAACCCTTGCCGCAATAGCGGAAGTTGCGTCAATGGTTTTGGCCAGTTTAGTTGCAGCTGTACGTCAGGCTTCACAGGCTTGCTCTGCGAGACGGGTACGTATGCCAGTTTCTGATTTCAGGGGAAAAAAAGAACTTCAGAGATTTATAACATCGTTGAGAAATGGAAGGATGAATTTTGGATTATCTCTTTGATCGAAGATTTCTGTGTAGATATCTTGGCGTTGTTACTGGTTGTTTTGATTGTCAATCCAAGGAGGGTAATTACATCGATTGTAATTGATTTGCATACGGTACCAGTTACTGGCTCCACGTACGCAAAATATCACTGCAATGCGCGTAGTTTGGTTCCCAGACCAAAATATGCTGACTATTGATGCTCAGTTACCGACTTGGCGAATACATTTTCAATTTTGTACACAAACATATGGGATTATTTTGAATCCCTAGTATATTCTATGGGAGCACTCTGATTGGTTCAGATTCCAGCGCATATTCTAGGCCACCACGGAAGGTCATTCTCATTACTTCAAAGGTTTGTACTTTGTGTTGTGTAACATTCCAAAATTCATTATGGGGCATACACGACTCAAATAAAATCAAGTACATGTATATCACAATTATACATTTTATTTCTATACACAATTGACCGAGTTGAGTGAAATTGGTCGTTAAATCGTCGCCAGATCTGCAAACATGTCCATGACGTATTGAGAAGTAGTCACCATATAAGGGAATGAATGAATCCTCATTTGCATAGCGGTGCGGGGTTGGATCTCACTGCAAACGCGCACTGCATATGTATGGCACTGCTTGCATATATGAACAACGGTGCGAGAACGTAATCGTCAAGTCGTTAAATATGCCTCAACCCGGCCGATTACATACTAGTCTTATACCAGCCGCGCCGATGGAGTTCGACTGAAGTTCACGGAGAAATACAACTATCTTACGACTTGTCATCAAGTCTAACCCAAAACTGGCTTCTATAGAGCTCTGGCTATGGCTATTGTCAGCTTGTCCCCCATTGTGGTAATGGATAAAGACTTAGACATGTAGCTGTAGCCATGAGATTTAGACGCGGCTTATTCATTCCATCTTGGATTCTGTTATGTATTTTCTCTCTCTGTTTCTAGATATTTCCACAGCGGTGTGCAACCCCAACCCATGCCAGAATGGCGGTTCATGCAACTTCATCAACGACCAGTACAGATGCTGGTGTGTGGACGGTTACATAGGGGCAAACTGCGAACTAGGTAAACCACAATTAAACAAATTCAATTCACACAGTTTTTACCATCGATCACTGTTTTGAAGGCTTACCTACAGGATGAATAATAAAAAAAAATAAAACCCAAATGTCGGGACCATTGTTTTAGTGAAGTTCTGCATGTAGCAGTTTCAATATCTGGGATATGAAAGCCAATTCATATGGTTTTATTTTAGTACAAGAATCATTCAAATCACTCTTGTACTTTTCAGGTTACAGAATTTAAACAAAACAACCGTTTTAAAGTTCTGTCCACGCGTCACAAGAAGGTGAGTGTTCTTTCAGCAAAATGAAAACAAATCACACAGGGATGTGTGTGAATTGTTTTCGTTTTGCTGAAAGAACGCACACCTTTTCTGTGATCCGTGGAGTTCGGTGGTTGTGTTGAAAAATCTGTAACTTAAAAAGTACATGAGTGATTTGAATGATTCTGTACTAAAATAAAGCTCATGAATTGGGCTTTCATATCCTAGATTTTGAATGTGATACATGCAGGATTTCAGTAGAACAATAGCCCCACTTTTTTTTTTTTTTTACTCACCCTGTACTACCTTCTGCGCCGACTTTTGGAACCAAGTTGTAGTAGGGTCACGTGGGTCATTAATTAACCCTAACTCCCTGGCCTTTTTGCTAGGATGTAGCCTCAATCCTGCAAAATCCTCCAATTGGCCTCATGGAAAAATAACATATAGCCTCAATCCTGCAAATTCCTCTGTTGTTTCTTGAATGTGGTCCATGGAGGGATGACCACTGCCTGAATCCTGCAAAATCCTTCGGTTATGTCTGTCAATAGGCTGAGGCAGAGGCAGTGACATCCTGGAGCAGTGCGGAGGATGTCAAGTATAATCAAGGACTAAATTTATGCACGGCTGAGCATAAACAACACAAGGTCCGGCCCAAGACCTTGACACAGTGCGTACTCCGAAATCAGCAACGCACTTTGGCCATGTAACCTCAATCCTGCAAATTCCTCCAATTTGCAAAAAGGATTTTGGAGGATTCAGGGCGGTTAGGGTTAAGAGAACCCAAGTATGCCTTTCAGTCTTGTACCCAGTATTCATCACTGTCTTATCCTGTGCAAATGATGTCCTGCTGTTTATTCCACAGACCGTAACGAGTGTGCAGATTGTCCATGTAAGAACGGCTACGCTTGCGAGGATCTGCTGGATGCATACAGATGTAACTGCTCGGCGGTAATGGGACCTCAGTGCCTAGGAGGTATAAAAAACATGTCTTTTTGTCTCAAAAAAAGAAGAATTAAAACAGGAAAATAGGCTTTTAAAAGTTAGATGATTCACAAAATATTTTGAGCTTCAACCCTAATTTTGAAATGACCTGTCACCTCAGTGCTGGTAGTGCCTGATCCCCTGTGAAAAGCCCTTGAAATTGAAATAATAAACATCTGGGCCCTATTTCTTGGCTGTGCTTATACCGTTACCGAAAAATCCCTGCTTAATATAGCAGAAAATTCCTTGCTTACGGTAAGCGTATTTCACTCGTTTGCTTAAGGATTCTGTGCTTATGGGATAGCACAGAATTTTTTTCTGCTAGCAAGGTTAGCACAAAATTTGTGGTCGTGGGTGCGGAATTCTGTGGTTAGCAGAGCCAAGATACCCGCCCTGGAATCATTCCAAGATCTGAAAAGAATTATGAATACCGCCTCCTGTCATGTGACCAAGCATGGTCACGTGATGGGTCATGTGAGGGCCTCAACAACACCAGTCGATAAAGACACCGTGATGGTGTCTTAAGCTCCTGATTCGAGCTCTGTAACTCAAGTCACAAAAAGTTACCTTCCATTTACTTGGATGATGAATAGTTTGGTTGCAGTACCCGCATGCACTGGTTCGAGCGCAAATGGCATTAAGTAGTCAAAACTAATTTTTATCAGAATGAGTATGAACCTGTCGCGTCTTGCATCAGCCGCAGGCATACTGCGGCAGTGTGTCGATGAGTCCTAACTAACTCCTCTCTTCTGGGTTACTATTGAGAGGTAATTGTGCATGAAAGCCAAACTTTTGAATAACTTTTTTCCAAACATGACGAGTAAGTATGAAACTAATTTTGTTTGTGCAAGAAGGGATATCTACCAGGGAGAAGAAATCCAATTTACTTAATTTCATGTCAACATTTTGTCTTCCCTGTTATTTTAGCCGCGGCATGCAGAAGTGAGCCTTGTAAGAATCAAGGCATTTGTAAAGAGATCCCCAATGATGACTATGAGTGTACATGCCCAGCAGGATGGTCTGGAAAGGATTGCTCAAAAGGTAAGATTTAACCCCCCCCCCCCCCCAACAAAAAAATAAAGTGGACTATTATGTCAAACAGTGTACATTGACCAATGAAATAGTGAGTTTCTGGTCAGGTGACTACAATAGCTTAGTCATACTCGTCACATACGTCAGGAATGAGAATCTTCTGTTTGAAATGGTTTGTGGCAACCTGTCGATGGAGCTAGGAGCAGGGGCAGGTGGAGACTGTCTTTCGTCGACCAGTTGGAGAGGGACACAGCGCCACAAGATACCGCTGAGCTGAGGATGCTGATGCTGGACCGGGATGCGTGGAAGACGACCATCAGAGGTTGCCGATAAGACGTCGGCTGAAGACGACCTCTCACATCATCATCATCATCAAACAGGAATGCCTGTTTTTTGTTGCCCAGATTCCCGCATTTCTATTTATTTAGAGCCTGTTTGGGGGCTTTTTTGCCTAATTTCACATCTTTTTTCCTGGTTTTGCACAAATTCCCTGTTTTTTCATTGAAATTCATTCTCGTGCCTGATACTTTTATAAGAAGTGTACTTCGACTGTAACCATGAATTTTTTGTAACACCCTCAGTTGTGGATGCTAACCTGGAGTGTATGACCAACAACTACTGTGCCAATAATGGCATCTGTATCATGGACAACGGCAACATGGTCTGCTCCTGCCAGAAGGGCTATGCTGGAGATCGCTGCCAGACAGGTCATTATTATTAGTTTATTTCTGGTTATGAAAGCAGAGAAGTTGTAAAAAGTGCCTTTTGGAACTGTATCTCGAGAGCCTGAAGAAACCTGTAAGGAGAATACACAGTGCACGATTTAAGACCAAGAGGTACCCCTAGTTTACCTCCACGTATACCCTCTGCAAACCCCAGACTGTTACCTACCACATCCACCTACATATCTCAAAGGGCATTCCCGAGATTCAGGGAACACAGTGACCAACACAAAAGGGAGGGGGTGGGGGGATCGTGTCACATTTCTTGCTTCAAGTGAAAGAGAAGGCAACGAAGAAATGCTAAAATTTACAAGTGGGAGGAAAACCCTACATAAATATTTTTAGAAAAAATGCGAAATCTTACAAGGGGTAATAATTGTGAAGCGCTTAAGATTGTTGGTAAAACATACAAAGTGCTATCGGCATTATTATTACATTAGGCCCCCCCCAAAAAGTAGTTCTGCTTCCGATTTCCCTACCTACCCTATTCTGACAGCCCCTACCCTAATTTTTATGGGAAAAATGAGGAAAAAACACCCAAACCCATTGATTTCTACCTTTTACCCTTGACTACACGCAGACGCCTCCATATGATTGTACACAAATAAAATTGGCCAAAAAAAATTCCCTACCTATCTAGATGTACCCTATTTTTGAATGCCATGTAATCGGAAGCAGAACTTTTTTTTTTTTTTTTTGGCCTTATTATTCCCTAAATAGGAACAGTTGGACACCATATACTATAGTCTGGCTCCCAGACCAAAAGATTCTGACTACCCTGATGAATCTTATGTCAGGTAGCATCCGGTAATACATTGTATTACAATTTACGTCACGTGACTAAAACGGAAAGAATTCCTCCTTTTTCCAAAAATGTCCGAAGGTTGCCGAATTCATTTCGTCGACAATCGAAAAAGCGCCTGAGTATTTCCAAGTAAAATATAGGTTTCATTAACTGCTAATTGCTTAAAAAACTAGTTGCTAATTAATATTCATTGCTTTTATTTAGAAATCTTGAAATTCAACGACGATTTTGTACTCGGATCGTACACGAGGGGCGAGCTTTTTGCTGCGTCATGTAGTAATTTGAATTTGACGACCGTTAATGGCATTTTCCAAAACTCAGCGTGGTCTTCATTCGGCTCCGCCTGCTTACAGTGTTATTTGGGTGCCTAACTTTGAAGATTCCAGGTCAACATTAGTCAATGTTTTCTTACAGAAATATTTAACTGTATTAACATAACTGTATGATTTTATGAAGCAAGTGATTTATTTTTAAAAAATTATCGGAACATTAAAAGCTGTAAGTGATAAAGCGAGTTCAGAAACGAAGCCGAGTTTTTAAAAAGGGCCGTCAATGTCGTCATGTTTATTCTAGCCATGGAGGCTGCCTGACCTACAATGTAGACGTGAGCGTAATTGTCAGGTCTGGGAACCAGACTACATATACTAATACGTTATTTTTTTTATAATTGTTTACAGATTTGAATCCTTGCGTCATTGACAAGTGCAGCAATGGGGGGACTTGCAGAAAAGTCTCCAACACTAACTCCACCTGCGACTGCCCGGCTGGATACGCAGGCGACTACTGCAATATTGGTGAGCGTTCAAAAAGGGCTCTGTCAGTGTCAATGATTGCGTTGGTTATGTTAATCAGACGTGATTTGAATTTGTGAACACTCAGAACACAAAGAAAAAATTTTTCAAGTGACACTGTTATCACTCCAGTTAGAACCCATCTTAATTCAAATCCAGGACAAATTCCGGAGAAGTTTCTGACATTGCATTACGTATAAGTTGCAGGATTCTGAACAACTTCCCCGCAAACTTCCCGCAATGAAGTGGAGTGTCATGGCCTAGTGGTTAAGAACACCAGACTCATGCTCTGGTGTTTCAGAGGCAACAGTGACGTGGGTTCAAGCCCAGGTGGACACTTGTGCTCTTAAGCAAGGCAATTAACCATTATTGCTTCGTCCGTCGGATGGGATGTAAAGCCGTAGGTCCCGTGTGTTGTGTAATGCAATGCACATAAAAGAACCCAGTGACACTTATAACTAAGAGAAGGGGTTTGCCCCGGTGTTTCTCGCCTCCTGTATAAACTTCCACGCGGAGTATTTAGGAGAACCAACCAAGAGCCAAGAAGTTATCAGTGTGGATGAGTTCAGCAGTTGTCCGGGACAAACGCAGTTAATTTCTTCATCCTAATACAGTCAACTCTCGTTATAACAAACTCGTTCGGACCTAGCCAAATTGTTTGTTATATCAGAATTTTGTATTAAGAGAAACATCAGTCCCATTCATAAATGCACAGTTGGGACCAAGGCTTTATGTTTGTTATAACCAGAATTTTGTATTAACAGAGTTTGTACTAACGAGAGTCGACTGTATAAGCTTTGTGACTTTTTCCTCAAACCGCTTCCTGTTATAATGTATTGAATTGTTTCAAGAGCTGTTTTTCTGTAACTGCCGCCACCCTTTTTGTTTTGCCTGTATATAGAAGTGGACGAGTGTGTCGGCAATCCATGTCGAAATGGAGGCACTTGCAAGGATTTATTGAACGGTTTCAATTGCACCTGTCCCCTAGATTATACAGGGACAATGTGTGAGACGTGTAAGTAAACAAATTATTTTTTTTAAAAAGACACTTCTTGATCCTCCGAACTGTAACCCTCTCTGCCAAAAGTGAGAATAACCATGGGAGGGCTTCTTTAACATGTTTAGTTTCCGCTGGTTCTTCTCAGAAACATAGAAACTCACACGAGATTTCATTTCACGTAGTGCAACAACATGTAGTTGTGTTTTACCATTATGTCTGAGGACAAGACATTGTGTTGCCCTTTTTTCCTTTAATGTAACACTCTCCCATAGATGAGCCGTAAGGGTTTGCATGGTGTACATGATCAATGAATGGGAGGTGTGCGGTGACACCATTTGAATCTCTGTGTGAGTTGTGTGGTTCTGAGAAGAACCAGTATGCTCTGTTCATCATCGGATGATGAACAGTACATGCTGAGGCAAAGAGCATACTGTTCAAAACGTTGAGTTAAACCAACCGGTTCTTCTCAGAACCACACAACTCACTAAGAGATATCCTTCACATGGTGTTACCGCAAACCTCCCATTCATTGACTCTTCCATAGACTAAGCACACAAACTTATTATAAGATGGAATTTTGCGTCGGGGTGATATAAATCAAATTAGGTTTTGCCCTTCACCGACGTTTAAACACTGTATACTCATTATACTATTTTTTTTCCCCAACTTTCACTCGGTAGGTAACACACTGAGTATACAGTGTTTAAACGTCGGTGAAGGGCGAAACCTAATTGGACACAAACTTATGTTTGAGGACCATTTTCAACAAAAGATGAACTCCCGTGGACAACAAAGAAGCTGTTGTTCTCTCTTTGTGTCGCTGTCCTCTGGATTTATGTAATGCAAGAGCAGACTTGCAATTATTCCTTAAATCACCCATGCAAATCGTTACATCTAATATATGAATTATTCAAAATTGGGAATTTGTTTGTCCGGCGGATGTTAAAGAGAAAACTAAAATCAGTTTATTGAGGAAGTGATTTAGAAATGGGCCTTAATTAGAACTGGATTTCATTGCCGACACATGTATAAAAAAAAAGTGGCACAGGATAATTGATGTCAGTCCTATCTTCACTTTGCGCGAGGTTTCTGTCATTAATTCGATATCAGGTTTCGCCCTTCACGGACTGTATACTCAGTGTTGCCCCCAAGTGGTTGTGAGCAAAAATCACTTGGGTGGGACTCAAACCCATGACCTCCTGCTTACTAGCGCAGACGTCTTACCACTCGACCACCGGACTTGCCAGGGTTGGGTGGCTGGTTCGAATCTCATATAGCAGCGGAGACCGCAACAAACTATTTATAAGATGGAATTTGATGGATAGTTCTGGCATGAAATTGGTAGCAATTAAATAACTTGCCTATAAATATCTCTTTTCTCCTCTCTTGATGACCCAGCTACTGTTCGACCCACTTCGGCTCCAGTGACCTCCTTGGAATGGGAATGGATCGTCATCTTGACCATCCTGGCTGTACTGGTCCTGATTCTCATCATTCTTCTGATCGCCTGCGCCTGCATATGGAACACTGGCAAAAAGGCGGAATAGGTATAGCCACATCCTTCATATTGTGGCAATTGTGTAGTTCCCATAAGAAAAAAAAAATCCACTTTTAGCATTTCTATAGGTTATTGTCGTTACCAAACAAGTTAGCGACACTTAAAAACAACAAGAGTATTTTGGATAGAGAGCAGGGCTTTGATTTTTGGAGAGAAATTTTGGAGTAAATTAATGAGGAACGTGGCAAAACACAGCACAAAATTGGCGATCGCCGCTACACACCGTGAATGCGCCAATAGTGCCTTGATTCGCATGGTGTCAACTGTAAAATGCATGAGAAAATCAAACTTTCTACCGAACGATACTGTGCAAAATTACCAAAAAATATGGTCATTTGGGATTGAAAGAACCTACCTATTGCAGAAGTCATTTTGGAATAACAACACTTAAAGGACTAAAACAAAAGAGGGCCCGTAACTACACAATTGCCTTCACTGTCTTCCATTGCTAGAGATGTCGCTCTAATGTAGCCCAAGTTGCTAGCTGAACACTGCTTTATGTGAGTACATTGGTACCAATATTTTGACTGGAATAAATATGGCAGCAAATTGTTGATACGAACGCATTGCAACAATTTTAATTGTAAAGATAGAATGAGTCATCGTAGGTTTTTTTAACTTGATAAAGACTTTAATAAAAGCGTAGTTTCAGGAAGATTCCAGCGGGAAAAGAGTTGATTAAATTATCATTTTTCATCGAGTTGTCACTTTTTGATGTGCAACAGAATTCTCGACATAATCTTTATGTTGATATTTTGTACACAGATGTGTCAATAGTGTATTCAACTTTATAAAAAAAAAACCTATTCAGGAACCAGAATCTACCCACCTAATGCAGAATCTATTCTTGGCTGTTGAGATCTAAAACTCCGCTGATAAATCCCAATAGCAAACGAAGCACATCCACCTCTGAAAGGCTAAAGCAATAACAGTTGTATGTGTCCACAAAGAAATGCAACTTTTAAATCATGGTATTTTTTAAGCAGATGTAGTACGGCCTATTTTAGTCCAAATTGTATTTTTAAAACCCAGAGAATTTACTGAATTGCTTAGTGAAAGAAAAAAAAACATTGTCTATCTGTTGTTGATCTTTAGAATAATAATTACAAATTTTGGATAAATTACTGACACTAGTTTCCTTGAATTAATTGCATATTGACCAATGGAAGAGTATTTGCTCATGAATATGTATGAGGTTTTATGATACAGTCGAGTCTCGTTAATACAAACTTGTTCGGACCTAGCCAAATTGTTTGTTATATCAGAATTTTGTATTAAGAGGAACATCAGTCCCATTCATTGTGCACATAAATGCACAGTCGAAACTAAGCCTTTATGTTTGTTATAACCAGAATTTTGTATTAACAGAGTTTGTACAAACGAGATTCGACTGTACTTTGATTGGCTTGCTATTAAGACATAGCACCAATTTTGGGGGCTTATTTTCTTTTTGTAACCATAACAGAATTTAAAGTATTTTAATATGTACATGGATACATGCAATAAGGAAATGCCAAGATGTTTTTAAAAAGAATTGTATAGATATATTCTGGAAGAAGTTTCATTTTTGATACAAATGTCTTTCAATTTTCTGCAACCTTCTATACAAGTGTCTTTCATTATCTTAAGCGAGATTTGAGGCTTTGCATGGTGGAGATACTAAATGATAAAAGGTTTGCTGAAACACCATGTGCAAATAATTTCTCAACTAAGAGAATGGTTCTGAAGACGGTCAGAGCATACTGACCGGAACGTCGAGTTTATACCTCTGGTTCTTTTCAGAACCATTCTCTTAGTTGAGAAATTATTCGCACATGGTGTTTCCGCAAACCTTTCATTATTTCATTATCTTAGTGACAGATTTTTATTGTATTAAATACTTAAAGGGAATATACATCATTTGCTTTTGCTGTAATTTTCAGAAATGGATGGAATTGGGGGGTTGGAAATATATAGCAAATATAGTTACACTGACTTTTTTGAGGTTTTGGGTTCGAAAATGCTATAAAAACCAAGGAAAACAATCGTTTTCCTGTAGTCTGACTCCAGATAAGAAAAAACAGAGCAGTTTACATACATTGGGGAATTGTAAGGTCAGGGAACCAGTCTAGCTGGCTTGTACCCGTTCATAGGTGTGTAATCGATTGCAAAACAAGTGCGATGGTCAATTGGGGCCAGTATTTGAAAAAAAGGCAGTGTTTTCCAACGCTGGTCGGCCGACCAGCGTTGGAAATTGATACAAAAATACCACTTTTCTTGAAAATGACAGTATACCAGGTGCCATGATTTTACAGGATGCTTTACACTGTCATTCACTAACAGTCCAGCAAGGTATTTCAAAATGATTTGGTAGTTTTATTTTTTGATGTTTGCAAATGTTGTATTTTCCCTTTAAGAGCATTTTGGTAAGTGCCTATTATAAGACAAACAAGGGTTGTATACTTTTTAAGCTAGAGTAAAATGCAAGCTTATAAATATGTGTAAAAAGCTGAATATTAATGTATAAATAGTATACGGTTTATGGTTTTGCTTAAGTTGCTTTGTAGTGCGGGTAAATGGTGAGGTTACTGTCAACTTTGCTAAATAATAGTCCTAAATGCTGGCTTGTTTGTAGGTGTTCATTGGCAGAGGAGGAAATCATCGTCAGACATTTTCTGACCGTTAAAACCAAATATCAGAGCAAAAACTGATGTGCTCCGTCAGTTAAATTTAGTTTGCGCTGTGTTTGGCAAAGGAATATTTCACTGTATGTGTGCCAGCCAGATTTTGTCGGAGGATTTTTGTCTCTTAATTTCAGCCTCTGCATTGGGGAGTATTTCAAAATCCTTTGTCGTGCTAAAGCTTTGAGAAGACTGGGCATTTTGGCCAGGCCGCATTTTTTTCCCCTGCAAATAAGAGTCAATGACCAAAACACTCATTGTACCGTAAGTTGGTAATGGAATGGTTCTCAGACTTAACAGTCCTTTTAGAAAAAAATCCTCCGGAGCAATGAATCAGAAATAAAAATTTGAAATTTGTTTCAATGATCAGTAGGCCTATAGGACTTGATTAAACACAATTGCAAGAATGAAAATTCACTCATGTGGTATGTTCCACACATGCGTATTAAGGTACTCTACTAGCCTGCAGAAGAAAATTTGCTGCCAGGCCTTGGTCATTTGTTTTACCTCCCTGAAACACTGTGTTTAAACTTGTGTAGCCGACACATACCTTTTTCAGACTGTTAATGCAGAGTTGTGCCAAACCGAATGGTATTTGGAGCAACTCTGGTAGATTTTTGTCTCAGACTGACAAACTTTATGCGTCAATTTTCCACCGACTAGACTATGGAGTCACTCAGTATGACTGCAAGTCAACTTTTGATGTAGTCATTCCTGCCCATTTCGAACGTCAAACTTTTCATATCCTGTACTTTTTAAGTCTTTGGAAAGTTGGTTCAGCATGACTTTGCGACCCAAGTCTCAAACGGGTGAAGCTAGTTTCTTCATTTTCTTTCAAAGGTTAGCCTTACCCTGTTATTTTTTGGAAAACTCCCTTATTGTGAAAAAGTAGATTGTGTGTTTTGCTTGCCTGCTGGTTTTTGTATTTGTACAAATTACATGCTTACACGTTGCTGAGATTTCGAATTCTTTACTGCTGTTTTGGAAAATATTTTCGTACTTAATTTTTGACATGGGTAATCATGGCATTGACAATGCTAATGTGTACACGGATGTACTTGAAATATATATTGTGTTTTTGAGATTTATAACGTGCATTTGCAATAAAAAAAAATTATTAGAAATCAGTGTCTATCGTGTGATCACATTTACAACTTAGTAAATGGTTTATGTGTGTTAGAGTATTGATTGATGGTCCTACAGCATCCAGATGAATTTCTGCCTTGTTTTGAGAAAAGTCAATTTTTGGCCGATTTTGACCAAAAATGTAAGGTTTACCCCTTGCATTTTTTTCAATTTTGGCAAAAAAATGAAATTTTCTGAAAGTTGCTAGAAAGATGCCTTCAGGGCCCGAGAACGCATTCCAAATCGATTGCTGGACAGTTGTGCTATTAAAGGGGAAATTCTGTCGAAAAATTAAGGTTACAATACATCGCCCCCAAAATTATCTTTTTTCCTCCAAAAATTGACGATTTTTGCCCAAATGTTCAAAATTATGTGTGTTAAAGTATTGATTGATGGTCCTCTTGCATTCAGATGAATTTCTGCCTTGTTTTGAGAAAAGCGATTTTTTTTTTTTCAATTTTGGCCAAAAAATGTAATTTCCTGAAAGTAACTAGAAAGATGCCATAAAGATCCTAGAACGCATTCCAAATCGATTGCTGGACAGTTGTGCTATTAAAGGGGAAAATTCTGTCGAAAAATTAAGGTTAAATCGCTCAAAAAATTACCTTTTCTTCTCCAAAAATTGATGATTTTTGCCCAAATCTTCTTAATTATGTGTGGTAGAGTATTGATTGATGGTCCTACAGCATCCAGATGAATTTCTGCCTTGTTTTGAGAAAAGTCAATTTTTGGCCGATTTTGACCAAAAATGTAAGGTTTCTGCCTTGAATTTCTCCCTTGCATTTTTTTCAATTTTGGCAAAAAAATGAAATTTTCTGAAAGTTGCTAGAAAGATGCCTTCAGGGCCCTAGAACGCATTCCAAATCGATTGCTGGACAGTTGTGCTATTAAAGGGGAAAATTCTGTCGAAAAATTAAGGTTAAATCGCTCAAAAAATTACCTTTTTTTCTCCAAAAATTGACGATTTTTGCCCAAATCTTCAAAATTATGTGTGTTAAAGTATTGATTGATGGTCCTCTTGCATTCAGATGAATTTCTGCCTTGTTTTGAGAAAAGTGATTTTTTTTTTTCAATTTTGGCCAAAAAATGTAATTTCCTGAAAGTAACAAGAAAGATGCCATAAAGATCCTAGAACGCATTCCAAATCGATTGCTGGACAGTTGTGCTATTAAAGGGGAAAATTCTGTCGAAAAATTAAGGTTAAATCGCTCAAAAAATTACCTTTTCTTCTCCAAAAATTGATGATTTTTACCCAAATCTTCTTAATTATGTGTTATAGAGTATTGATTGATGGTCCTACAGCATCCAGATGAATTTCTGCCTTGTTTTGAGAAAAGTCAATTTTCGGCCGATTTTGACCAAAAATGTAAGGTTTACCCCTTGCATTTTTTCAATTTTGGCAAAAAAATGAAATTTTCTGAAAGTTGCTAGAAAAGATGCCTTCAGGGCCCGAGAACGCATTCCAAATCGATTGCTGGACAGTTGTGCTATTAAAGGGGAAATTCTGTCGAAAAATTAAGGTTACAATACATCGCCCCCAAAATTATCTTTTTTCCTCCAAAAATTGACGATTTTTGCCCAAATGTTCAAAATTATGTGTGTTAAAGTATTGATTGATGGTCCTCTTGCATTCAGATGAATTTCTGCCTTGTTTTGAGAAAAGCGATTTTTTTTTTTTTCAATTTTGGCCAAAAAATGTAATTTCCTGAAAGTAACTAGAAAGATGCCATAAAGATCCTAGAACGCATTCCAAATCGATTGCTGGACAGTTGTGCTATTAAAGGGAAAAATTCTGTCGAAAAATTAAGGTTAAATCGCTCAAAAAATTACCTTTTCTTCTCCAAAAATTGATGATTTTTGCCCAAATCTTCTTAATTATGTGTGGTAGAGTATTGATTGATGGTCCTACAGCATCCAGATGAATTTCTGCCTTGTTTTGAGAAAAGTCAATTTTTGGCCGATTTTGACAAAAAATGTAAGGTTTACCCCTTGCATTTTTTTCAATTTTGGCAAAAAAATTAAATTTTCTGAAAGTTGCTAGAAAGATGCCTTCAGGGCCCTAGAACGCATTCCAAATCGATTGCTGGACAGTTGTGCTATTAAAGGGGAAAATTCTGTCGAAAAATTAAGGTTAAATCGCTCAAAAAATTACCTTTTTTTCTCCAAAAATTGATGATTTTTGCCCAAATCTTCTTAATATGTGTGGTAGAGTATTGATTGATGGTCCTACAGCATCCAGATGAATTTCTGCCTTGTTTTGAGAAAAGTCAATTTTTGGCCGATTTTGACCAAAAATGTAAGGTTTACCCCTTGCATTTTTTTCAATTTTGGCAAAAAAATGAAATTTTCTGAAAGTTGCTAGAAAGATGCCTTCAGGGCCCTAGAACGCATGCCAAATCGATTGCTGGACAGTTGTGCTATTATAGGGGAAAATTCTGTCGAAAAATTAAGGTTAAATCGCTCAAAAAATTACC